GTCCCGTCTATCAATACCCCAGATGAATTATATGTATGGACATCTTTACAAATTTAATATATTCCATTTAGTCGTTAGCAAGGATGATTTACACATGAGAGGAACAAAGTAAAATGAGATTTAAAGTCCACTGGACACAAACTAGGTCATTTTGGGACTAGCATAATATGGTGATGCATACTGTATCTATGGACATCATCACAAAGTTAATATATTCGTTATCAAGGGTGATTTTGACTTAAGAGAGAGAAATGGGGTTTAAGGTCCACTCAACACAAACTAGGTCATTTTGGGACTAACATATGGTACAATTTTACTTCAATAATACACTTGTGGGAAAAGAGAATATCCATGAGGTTGAACAAACAACACCACACCATGTCACCGGCATGCTGTCACACCACTTAACTCAATGACAGACCTTAGGATCTAAAGTCTATGTGTTAGACCAGGGACAAGTTTCATGAATGTCCAATGCAATTTAAACAGAACAAATCGTCTTCTATAAATATGATATAATGAAAGGTGAAATATGATACACGATTCAGTGTAAGCATATTTTAGCTCTTGGGTAAAAGAAGTGTTTCTGAGGGATGTACATGTTCGCTCTTGTAACAGGTTTTAAGGACGAGGGGATTGTAGATGATCCAGTGACAATAAGTCGTAGTCACACAATCAGCAAGACGACCATACAACACCTTTTCTGCCAATGTTCCTTGTGCCAAATAGGTTATTTTGGTCAAACATATTTTAGGAATCAGACCAGCTTATTCCCATCTGTATTTAGGAGCCGATCATTGTATGGAAACATTTGGACGTTTTCATGGAGAGGCATTACAGATCGTGAGACTATGATAATTCCATATTGAAATCCCTAAAGGAGAAGAGGTCAAAAACAGTACTACAAAATAAAACAGTACTCTGTGGTCCAAAAACCTTGAAGGAAGGTCAGAGAGCATTTACACTCGAACGTAGGAATCTAAGTAAGTGAGCACTTCTGCTCGAACGTAGGTATATGTAGGAGTTTGGCACATGCCGACAACATTATCCTGGAGTGCCATAAATCCTGTTTTGATCTATGCCATGATTCAGAGATTTCAATACCAGACATTAAATGTCCCTACATGAACACTTCTGAATGTTTCTTCTTATGGTTCTTCTTTACTTACATGAGCAGGTGTACAAATTAAAAGATATCAAGTTTATGATAGTCATGTCAGTCAAATTTATACGATGATCTGCTCATGAATACAGATCTTAATAACAGTGTTCTGATCCCTGCAAAATTACACACCACTTATGACCCTTCCCTATGGCTATCAAGCAAGCGTGAAAGTCAGATTTTCTCACAAAAATATTATGATTTTAAACAAAATGATCTATTTGACACGTTTCACGTTGAAATTACGAAATATTACAAGTAATGGTGATGATCAGTAGTCATTTGAAGATAATTGTTGGTCATTGCTGAAAAGGTGCTGCTTTGGTTAAATTGTGCTAATATAAAAGCTTGCTATGCCCGTCCTTACATTTATGCACTTCCGTGCTACTAACTACTGAATACAGGTGAGAATAATCGTTGCCTGATCCTGCAAAATTATACACCAGTTAAGCCCCTTTCCTACGATGACCGCGAACGTCCGATTTTGTCACAAAAACTTCATGATTTTTAAACAAGATAGTATATTTGGCACAAGGAACGTTCAAGTAACAAAATATAGTACTAATGTTCATAATCAACGGTCATTTGAACTCTTGAAAATAGTATTCGGTCATTAGTGAAAAGACGAATTTCGTGGAAAATACCGTTTTTACACATTTTCAGAATATTACAGCACTTTAGTGGGTTGCGTTCCGGTCAGTTTTTTTCTTTTGACATTTACTTTGAGAAATGCCCTTCACAACCACACCAAGCAATTCTATGTCAGACCTGCAAAGAAGCAGCTACGTGCGTTTTAGGATAGCATAGTTTTAAACATATGTAAAATGACCACTTTATGATCACTCACAAAAAATTCCACACGATTCATTCATTCCCAAACGACTGCAGGATTTTAAGACGACTACTAGGCCTATCATACCTGACCAATATCAAAAATTTAGAGACACAACTTTTCGGGTAGGAGCGTTTTGAAATTAGGGTAACAAATTGGTCGAAATATGTCAACTTTTGCCCCAAAACAACAATTTCCAGTTATACCGGAAGTTGTCCGTTCAAAATTTTTTCACTCCATCATGTGACTTCTGTCGCCTAGGGGTCCCCATAGACCAAGTATGGTTGAAATTTGCTGACCCCCCGGGTTATCGTTTTTTTCAATTTCTGCATGGTGCTCTCGTGGACACGCTCTTAATGTTCATCTTACATTTCCATTTTGACTGATAATGAAAGCTTGATTGTGTGAAAACTTATTATATTATACATGTATGTGAAGGTCTTAATGTATATACATACATGTATAGCAAAAAACAAGGATCAATACCAGTTATGATAATTTAATATCAGGAAAGAAGTCAATCGTGTTTCATTTGCTAGATAAATAGTAGTGGCAAATCCATCGAGAATTTCTGATTTGTAAAGCCATGTCATTGATGTTGGCCGAACAAGGAAGCTAAACAGTTCTACATGTAGTACTTTCTAATCAGTTTGTGGTCGTTTTGAAATCAATAGAAGACAATGGGGTGGCTGATAGCCTAAAGCAAGCTTTTATTATATACGTGACTGCCTTCTCATGACTTTCATTTTTTAATAATAAAAATATTAAACTTTGTTTTATTGTATTACAGTACCGGTATTGCACATAAAATAGAAAATTTATTTTTGATCTGACAGTGTTTATAACCTAGAAAATGTGATGTGTATATGTTAAAATGTTATTAAACCAGTGTTGAAATCAGTTTGCGTTGGCATACCTTTTATCTTTTCATCGTTTACCGTGAAACAAAGAGTAGTGCAGCTTTACGGTTGTGCTAATATTTCTGGATATGTATATGTACGTACAGCTTAATACTGGTTACCTCTCCCATCTTCCATATTTACATATACATACAAGTTGTATAGTTCTAAAATCCAGTATTACAGATAAATTGTTTTGAATTCTTATCTCATATAATACCATTACGCGAAGACTAAATGGTAAGAAATGATAATAAGCTGCTTAATGTTTTAAGTCTTATCTCCTTTTCATATAGAAAAACATGAGACGTAAACATACTTTTCTACAACTACTGAATGTACATGTATACATGTAGGCCTCTGTTCAATACCTTCAACAAACATATTTTGCTTATAAGAACATAATATAAAAGCCTATATCTTTAAAGAACATATAATGACCACCATACATGTACAATGTATGTACAAATGTAGTTTAAGCCAGTGCATGGCATTTTTTACTACATATATAGAGTACATGTAAGTAGTGCCCCACTGTTTTTGATATTGTTTCAGAGATGGACAGTACATGTAGCATATTTAGGTGAACATCACACTTGTAACACTATGCACAAGGTGTTCACGTCCCAAACCGCCTCTAATGTACATGTATGGTATGCCAAAATACAAATATTTTTTCTCACCCCAGGGGAGACAACCTACCCTGACCTCTCTTGTGCACCTTATTAGAACCATGCTGTCGACATCTGGTGATTTGCAAAGTGTTAATTGACAATTGGCATGTGTAGTCCCTGTGACAGGACTGATATCACTTGCCAGTCAACTTGATTATGGTTGTAATTGAAAAAAATGAAACATGTTTTAGAACTTGTGACACATAAAAGGAAATGCATGTATATTGTACAGAGTATGTACTCTTTAAGAATGAGTATATACATGTATGTAGTTTAAGTCAACCTTTATTGTCTTATATTAGATCAAGTATATTTCCAGAATTATTGTTACCTTAACATGTATATTGATAACAGATTGGATGTAATGTACATGTAGGTATAGTATTGTTGCTATGGTAAAACAGGACAGATATAGAGGTCTAGCCAATCAATATATGTCTGTTATAAACAACATGTATAATACTCCCTTCTTTACTGAGGTGTACATCCACTTCTTGATTTTTTCAAAATTAAAAAAAAAATGACTGACAAACTAAAATGGTCTATTGTAATTGTGCTCCACCTTTTGAAGAAAGCAGGGGACTATAAATATTGGTAGGGACATCAGCCTAACTGTAGGCTTGTTTGGCTAGGTCCCTGTCCCAGTAGGTTTTACTGTAGTATGTAAATAAATATTGATGTATGTCGATATTGAACACAGAAATGTTGAACAGCTCTTCCTTTCAGTGGTAATAGATATTCATTAAAAGATGGAATCAATGAAAAATGTCTGGCTGACTCGGCAGATAATTACTTTTATGTAGCCATTGACGGAACTCTTTGAGATTGTGATACAAATGTACCAAATAAGGAAGTAGAATATGATATTGTCATTACCAGGGCAAAATTAATTTTTCTATACAAAGATAAAAAAAATAGCCATATGGCTTAGATAAAATCATATACAAGAGGTACAATGTATAAAGATTGAGATGTCAAGACAAATCATAATTTATTACACAATCTTACACAATTATATTCTCAACTGTCTTATCATTCTTGCAATCTTTAAAATGTCAGCTCTTTATGACATAAATGTTCATTTTATTAGTTATGTGGACATCCCAAATGCATAAAAAGTAGTCTGTTTTAGAAATATTCAATAGATATGCACATAACATTAATTTCTGTATTTTAGTGTGATTATGTTATAACTAATAGTGAAATGATGTCAAACACATGAGGGAGTTATTACCAATATTCCAAGTTTCATGACTTTAGAGAAAAACATGTAGCTTATGACTGTGTTATTTAATATAAAAGAAATTACTTGTAGATTTATAAATGTTTGCACAGAATAAAGAAGTCATTCAAAGTAAAACAATAATGACAGCAGACAATGTTGATATCAATATATGAATAAATTACCACAATGATATTCCTATTTATTTCAGATTGCCTGTAATATATTCCGAACACTTCCACCAAATGACAACCCTGACTTTGACCCTGAAGAAGATGATCCTACTTTGGAAGCATCCTGGCCACATTTACAGGTGAATAAAGAATTTTGATAAATTTACAGCACAGCTTTCCTCTACAAGTTATTTTTACTGACATGCAATGCAGTGATGGGATTTCGCATGTATATTCCAGACGTGTCTGACGCTATTTTCTAAATGTCCTAATTTGTCCGACCAGGAATATGCCCAATCGGACATCAAGATATGGTGAAAAATATTCAAAATTCCAAAATTAATATAGTGTACTGAGTGTATAACTACATGTACAACTCAACCCCATTATTGTTATCTTAGGCTGGATTTATTAGGTAATTTAGTGATCAACATATTTATCGTGGTATACAGTCTATACACCTACATGTACCTTGATTAACAACTTAATTTGTTTTGATTGACTGATTTTAATTTTTTGTCGGACATTTCATCGATTTAATCTTAAACAGAAGTCATTGCTTCCCCTTTGTCAAACTCTTCATCAATTCAATAAGATTGATTATAATTTTAATCTACGTGTTTACCTTGTGGTTTTTCTTTCGTCGGACATTTTAATCGCATTGATGTGAGCCGCCAATATGTATAAACTAATCATACATGTAGATGTCACATACTGTAAGAATATATAACACCCCAAATCATCTATAGGGGAAAGGTCAGGACTCATGGCTGGCCAAGGCATATGGACAATATGGTGACGCTGGAGGTAGTCATTCACGACACAAGCGTGGTGGGCGCTGCATTATCATCTTGAAAGATGAAACGGCGACCTGCACGTTGAGCAAAGGGCAGAACTAACGGTGCCAGGATGTGGTCACGGTAGTACACACCAGTGACCCTTCCTTGAACAATATGCAATGCAAGTCTGTTCTGCCAGTCATGGTGATTCCTACCCACACCATAACAGCCCCACGCCCGAATCTATCATGCTGTCTGACGTTAACGTTGGCATGACACTCATTTACACGCTCATTTAAATCTGGACTCATCTGAGAACATTATACGCGCCCATCGACGATTACCCCAATTTCTACGCTGCCTACACCATTGATGCCTGTTTGCCATGTTCTGGTGAGTTAATGGAGGCACAACACACGGTCGTCACGCATGCAAATGGGCTGCATGTAGCCAATTTCTAATCGTTTGGGGTGCAACTAAAATTCCTGTAACTTGGTACAAGATTACAGAAAGTTGATTGGCCTCGATTTCGCAGGACCTGTCTACGAATGTATCGATCCTGGGCTTGTGTAGTGGCTCTAGGACGACCTGAACGAGGTCTTATCATCAGCAGTGTGTGTTTGTTGGTACCAGTTCCACAGTCTGCTGATCACAGACTGTGACACATTAAGCATGTTGGCTACTGCTCACTGTGTAGAACCCATTTGAAGTATGTTGAACACGTCTCATTGCAAATTAAATGTAACGCACTAAAGCAAAGATACGCTAACCAGTAAATCTTATGCAAGAACCGATAGGAAATCAAACATGGATAGGATAAACCAGCACGCGGCAGTTCTCATCAACTCTTCCTTGAAGTATCAAATTTGACAATGAACCCCTCTCATGTGTATGGCGCTATTGCGTGTCGCACGTGCAGCTGAGTGGTTCTGTTGGAATGATAAGTTCTTCATCTGTGAACATACTCTCAAAGCATGTCAAGTGTCCATGACTATTTATCATATCCGAACCTGCATAGGTATTTGCATTTCAATATCCCCTACTTTATATATATATATATATATATATATATAAAAGCTGAGAAATATCGACACTCGACGCTTGAGACTGGAAATTGGGTGGATCCATTCGCTCAATTTGTATGTACGAAAATCACATTTTTAACTTGTGGTTCTTCTAGAGGTCACAATTTTTATCCAATTTAAAAAAAACGTGTGAATATATCACCGTTACACCCTGATGATGGTTTGGTTTGAATTTTGTGAAATATGGACCAAAACTGCCGAACAAAATGGCCACCCTCCTATGCAAATAGTGTAAAAATATGATATATCAAGGTTGTGGGCCCTCTAGAGGCTGCAATTTTTATCCGATTGTGATGAAACTTCAAATTTATGTTTAAATCACAAAGATCTTGGTTCCTTCCAATAATCGCGCATATCCGAATTTAACTTCCTGGATTATGGTCCCAGATTTTTCGAAAAATCGCATTTTTATCTTGTGGCCCCGCTAGAAGTCACAGTTTGTATTCATTTTTAATAAACGTTGAAATATATCACTGTTACACATCAACGAAGGTTGAGTTTGAATTTTGTAAAGATCTGACCAAAACTGCTGGACAAAATGGCTGCTTCTTGTACGCAAATAGTGTAAAAGTATGTAATACCAAGGTTGTTGACACTCTAGAACTTAAGTCACACTATTTAGCCGATGTTGATGAAACTTGAAATGTATGTTTATAATCCAAAGATCGTGGTTCCTTTGCATATTTGCGGATATCGGACTGTAACTTCCTAGTTAAACCTTACAATCACCAATTTTTTGGTTGACATTGTTGAATTAGAACTGTATTTGTAATGGACTTGTCCGCCTCCCGTCAGTCTATTTCCCTTTGTTTGTATGGTATGGTTGAAACATGGCGGCAAGTCTACAGTGACGTTAACATTACTTCAATGGAGATCATGTGACCACAATTCACTCTCCTCCATGAGTGCAACTCAAGAGAAATTCTAAACTGAGACTACATGTATGTCTGCATGATCATCCATATTGTTCAAACTTGGTAAACAAAGTATCATTCGTCAATCAGACTTATTTATTTAATAAGAAGACCTTAGTTGCTCATGGTGTGACACAGTGTATACATGTATATCAGAAAACAATGTCCAAATAAATGTCTTGTAGAGGATATTGAGGATAAATTTTCTTGTGATTGGTGGCCGACTTGACCCAACTGAACTAATGCAATAAATGAAATGGTGTTTAACATCCTACTGTTCTGCTCCGTTTGGGCTAATGAAGACAGGCATATGTCATACAATGTGCTATGAGGGAAATTTTGCCCGAACAGCGGCGCTACGGCCTACTCTTATATCGAATTCCAACTACCAAGGGATCTTTTACGTGCATGCCAATGTGTTCATGGGACCTTGGTCTTTTAACCCATCCAAATGCCTAGACTGCTCTTCTTTTCAGACCCCTTGCCCTGCACCACTGACATGGGGAAACTACGGCAAAAAAAACTGAACATTCTCGGCCAACCCCGGGATCGAACCGTCGACCTCCAGGCTAGCGAGCCACTGTCTTACTCATTTAGCCACCGTGTCTTCAGAACGAATTCAATAAAGCTCCATATGGATGTACTCAAAATCTTTTAAGATTGTTAATGGCTTTGTAGTTCTATAATATGTATCCATGTAAAATTTGTCCATTTTATGGAAGATTGTCCATTCACAGCCAGAGCATGAGACATTTAAAATGTAGCTGTTGTGTATATATACGTTTCAATGAATATTCAACAAATGGTACTGATATTTGATGAAAATAATGTTCAAACTGGTCTTACCAATTATTCTTCTTTTGCCAACTAATTACTATACTAAAATATGCCCTGGTAGAACACCAGGTTACTAAGATAATAATCAATAATTTTCTAAGATAATAATCAATAATTATTTTTTTTATTTGATGATTATTTTTTTTTTTCCTCCTCAGATTGTGTATGAATTTTTTCTGCGGTTCCTTGAATCTCCAGACTTCCAACCAAGTTTGGCCAAGAAATATATAGACCAAAAATTTGTTTTACAAGTAAGTTAGAATAAAAGAACAATTAATTATGCTCATTACCATAAATAGTCAGTTATTGATCTACAGCCAATTTACCCAGAATAAAAAGATCTTGCATTAACTACACATTAGTTAAGTTCAGACTCGCGTCAATAAGGATTCTGTTATTTCTCTGGAAATATAGCTGGCCTTGTGTCACATGTATACACAGAAACACTGGTTACGTCATGAACCCAAATGTCAAATAACCTAATCAGATAAAAAATGGCCGAAGTAAAGAATATACAGCCAACCTGGGGACCCATCTATAAGACTTTGAGTAGTGGATGTTATTATCATTGATAGAAAGTCAATACTGTGTCAAGCATATAATGTAATAGACTTTCTTAACATTAGAACTTCTTCTTAGACTGAATCCAGACTGACATTAAACTTAGTTACCAAGTCATCTTCTGCTATACTATATTAACCAACTGAATCTTGGCATATTGTTGTTCCTAAAATAAATCTCATTTTCTGATAAACTGTTTGAATTACATCTGAAACTGAGCATTTAACTACAGACACTAATTGTTAAAAAAAAAAAAAAACTATGGTGATACTTTGTATTTGAATTCAATTTATGTCCACTAGTACAAGTAGCTTAATTGGGATGCTTGATATCGTTGGTTCTGCCGAATCAGACATCAAGATATGTTGAATCAAACTCAAAATTCCAAAAATCTTGACCTCACTAAGAATACATCTATTTCCAGTGGAAAGCAGAATTAATTTCAAACTTCTGTGCATAGCCTTAGGCCTACAAATGTCCGAAGGGTGAAGCATCAAAATACCTCTCCTCATTGCTTGTTTCCTATGCTCCTCAAAGAAAACTTCGATCCCAACATAACTATGTTTGTAGTCCATAACTATAGACTAAAATCTTACATGTAAATGCTTCCCATACACCGTACCAGGGCTTCTACTTCAAAATTTTTGCTGTCGGTCATTTTTGATAACGCACAAAACCTTTGCAAATTAAATTCATCATACTTCATGTTTTTTATTTATGGTAGGGTATCATAAATTCATGTGTCTTTTCCACTTTGTCTGAATGGTGTACACCAAAGAAATAAATGAAGAGCTGAATTGTCCGTAGAAATATCATTCCAGTAGCTCACATCTATTACCGCGTGCTCCATTGACAACACACTGACCGTGATAACTTTGAGTTGTAACACAATAACATCGAAAAGAAGATAAATATATAATTATCCAGTGCATATTTCTCACATTTATCAGTTTTAGACCCTGTCTTAATGCATTACGGACCGCAGAATTGTGACGTAAATCTGCAAAACCAGAATATCGTTGTGCATAATAAATTTATGGCCCTTCTTTCACTCTATGAACCACAAAAGTTATCATTCGATCTGTATGAAATTTATAGCATTTTTTAAATTAATGAAACAAAGAAGCCCATTGAATTTTAGCAATTTCCGTTGGTTAATACAAGAGTTATGGCCCTTATTTCACTTTGTCGAACCCTGTGAACGCTTTAATGACAAAACATATCATCCAAGCTGTATGAAATTTATATGCCCTATTTAAATTAGTGAAATGACGAAGCCTATTGAATATCAGCAATTTTTGTATATTACTTCCAGAGTTAAGGTCCTTTTTTCAGTTTGTAGCACCTTGTGAACCCTCACAGGATGAAAATTATAATCTGATCTGTATATATATATATACAACAATTCTTGTTGACCGCTTGACGCTTTAGCTGCTGTGTGCGTGTTTTGTTGCCTATACCTATCTTTGTCTGATTCTGATGAAACTTGAAATGTATGTTTATAACCCAAAGATCGCGGTTTCTTTTTGATATTCACGCATTGTACGAAAAATCGCATCAAAATTTTAAAAAACGTTTCAATGTGCGCTGTTACACCTTAATGATGGTTGAGTTCAAATTTCATCAAAATCGGACCGAAGCTGCTCGACAAAATGGCAGCTCCTAGTACACCAATAGTGTAAAAGTATGTAATACCATGGTTGTGGACCCTCTAGAAGTCAGAATTTTATCCGATTTTGATGAACTTAAAACATGTGTTTATATCACAAAGATCTCGGTTCCTTTCGATATCCTGGATTATGGCCCCTGAGTGAGAGTACAAAAACATTGTGATTTTAGCTTGTGGACCCTCTAGTGGTCACAATTTTTATACGCCCACATTTAAATGTGGTCGTATATTGTCGTCGCCCCCGTCCGTCGGTCCGGCGTCCACAATTGCTTGTGGACGAGCTAGAGGCTAAAGTTAATATCCGATTGACTTTAAATTTATACACAGTGTTAAAGGTCATGAGACGAAGAAGCCTATTGATTTTCAGCGATTTCCGATTATTACTGCCAGAGTAATGGCCCTTGATCACTTCAAAAAATCTTGTGGACGCTCTAGAGGCCAAAGTTAATATCCGATTGATCTTAAATTTATACACAGTGTTAAAGGTCATGAGACGAATCCTATTGATTTTCAGCGATTTCCGATAATTACTGCCAGAGTTATGGACCTTGATCACTTCAAAAAATCTTGTGGACGCTCTAGAGGTCAAAGTTAATATCCGATTGACTTTAAATTCATACACAGTGTTTAAGGTCATGCGACGAAGAAGCCTATTGATGTTTAGCAATTTCCGATAATTACTGCCAGCGTTATGACTCTGATCACTTTGAAAAATCTTGTGGACGCTATAGAGGCCAAAGTTAATATCCGATTTACTTTAAATTTATAATCAGATTTTAGTGTATTATAAATGTTTCATTACCGAAAATTAAAAATATGCGACAACTCTTGTTGACTGCCCGGACGATTTAGCTGCTGTGGGCGTATGTTTCGTTGCCTGGCAACCTATCTTTATCTGATTTTAAAAAGCGTTACAATATATCATTGTTACACCCTGATGATGGTTAAGTTTGAATTTCTTGAAAATTGGACCAAAACTGCCGAACAAAACGGCCGCTCTTTGAAAGTGGATAGTGTAAAAGTATGTAATACCAAGTCAGAATTTTTATCTGATTTTGATGAAACTTAAAATATATGTTTATATCCCAGAGATTTCGATTCCTTTTGATATTCGCGCATATCGGACCATAATTTCCTGTACTATACCCCTTGAATGGACGAAAAATTGCTTTTTGTCCCCCGCCTTTCGAAGAAAGCAGGGGACTATTAAAATGGGTTCGTCTGTCTCTCCGTCCGTCTGTCCGTCACACTTTTTAGGACACAATAACTCTCTAATTGAGCTACAATGTTTAAACTTGGTGTAGGTGTTTATTAGGTCAATGCCTTGATGGAGTTCGAAGATGAGCATTTTCGGCTTAGGGTAAGCAGAGATAAGCAATTTGATTGGTTGATGCTTTGGGACACGATAACTTTAGTTTTAATTAAGTGAGAGTGATGAAACTTGGTGTATAGTTTCATTACATCAATACCTTGATTAAGTTCGATAATGAGCATTTTCTGCTCAGGGTAAAGTAGAGCAATATGCAATTTGATTGGCTGAGACTTTGGAACACAATAACTCTACTTCTAATTGAGCTAGAATGTTCAAACTTGGTGTAGGTGTTTATTAGGTCAATGCCTTGATGGAGTTTGAAGATGAGCATTTTCTGCTTAGGGTAAGCAGAGATAAGCAATTTAATTGATTGATGCTTTGGGACACGATAACTTTAGTTCTAATTAAATGAGAGTGATGAAACTTGGTGTATTGTTTCATTACATCAATACCTTGACTAAGTTTGATATTGAGCATTTCCTGCTCTGGGAAAGCAGAGCGACAAGCAATTTAATTGGTCGAGACTTTGGAACACAATAACTCTCCTTCTAATTGAGGTAGAATTTTTAAACTTCATGTAGGCGTTCATTAGGTGAATGCCTTGATGGAGTTCGATGATGAACATTGCCTGCTTACGGTAAGCAGAGATAAGCAATCTGATCGGTTGATGCTTTGGGGCACAATAGCTTTGGTTATAATGCAGTGAGAGCGATGAAACTCTGAATATAGATTCATTATATCATTACCTTGACTAAGTTCGATGGTGAGAATTTTCTGCTTTGGCATAGGAGCGATAAGCAATTTGATTGGTCAAGACTTTGGAACATAACAACTCTGCTTTTCATTGAGGTAGAATATTTAAACTTGATGTAGATGTTCATTAGGTGAATGTCTAGACTGAGTTCAATGATTAACATTTCGAGCTGAAGCTAAGCGATTAATTGATATGTGTCATCTATTTATTTTGGGATTTCAGCAGGGGGACATCAACCTCACTGTTGGCTTGTTCTTTTTAGCTTGTTTTCTGTCCACCTTTTGCAAAATGTGGGAGCATCTTGTATGGGAACCGCTTGTTAACAATTGAATTATTAATATGGTTGCTTTGACAAATTGACACTATTTTCATCTTACTAATTTAGTAATAGTAGTAAATAAGGTCCAACTTATTAGGTGTGTATGCAGCCTAATTGAATATTAATGTATGTACAAATATAAAATAAGAGGACAACATTGTATGGTATTAATTACAATATTTACTCAAGGACAAATAACAAAAAGAGGTCACTTTCCCTTGTCATTGACGGCTTTAAAAAAAGGTGTATTTAAATATACATGTATATTTGTTTATGGTTTATATATAGAAATAAAGATGAAATGATTGTTCTGGTTAGTTGATTTATATGTAGACTAAAATAGATAAACTTTTACATTAACAATTTATACTAGTATACTAGATAAAACATTACATGTAGCTGAGACATTTAGAATTCATAATTAATAAATCTCAAACAATAGTCAGTATTAGATAAATTTCTCTTTAATGAGATCATCACAATGAAAGAAACACCCACTAATAGGTTGAGTTCACATTAATCTTACCTGAACAATTAAAATATACATTCTTACAAACAGTATTAAGACTTATGTAACATTCGTGGAATATTGTTTCGCATTTGGGAAATACTTGAAACTTTGAATGAGAATTGTATCTTTTACCTGGTGTAAATTAGCCAAAGTATTTGTGTTGACATAAACAAGTTTAATTTTGTATGCTGATCCAGATACGAACAGTCTTCAACAAATACAACTGCTGGTATGTGATGTATATGATTTTAGGTAACTGTCTTCAAATGAGGGCTTCTGTAGTCTTAGCTGTAAAGACACCAAACTCTTAAATAAAATGTCTAGATGTCTATACATTGGTGTGCATGTAAAGGAAACCTTGTCAGTTGAAATTCAACAAAGATTTGGTGCAAACTCTGATAGCCCACTGCATGGCATATGCCCTCCTTCATTAGCACATGTTTGCCTGAAAGTGTTGACAAGTCAATTCATTTAAAGATAATTATCCAAGAGGTAAATCTGCCTATTGCAGGTCTTTCTTTAGGCTTTAAATGTTATGTGAATTATTAATGAGACATTTATTAACACGACCAGACCATAATCAACTCTCGATGCATTGGATGCTCAAGATTTTAACTAGATTAGAACGGTTCAGCCATTTATTGATTTAATTTAAATATGGAGAAGGGAGGCTTAGTCTCAAATATACCAGTACTGTGGTTATGTTAATAAACAATCAATGCACACGTCTTGTCAAAACTACAAACAGTGATAACTTGGCTCAAAATAAAGTAATTTAAATGAAATTTTCAATATATTCATTTTGCATTATCTAAATCTTACACAATGTATCTTTAAGTGATGACAGCTGCAATCTGACCTTTCTTTCATTCATCACCGGCTTATCCTCAAACAAATATACTTTATAGAAATTCAGAAATTTAGATTGTTATACTGTCTCTGTAAAATTATAACATTATATTTGAGTTATGTATCTTATCTATAATAATATAAAATTTGACAAAACATTAAATGTCGTGGAAAAATAATCTAATAGGCTTACATGTACATGTTTATCATATCTGTTGTCCCCCGCCTTTGATACTTGTCGAAATGTTGTGCTTATATAATAAAATCAGTGATTGTTTCACATAAAAATTGTGTTCTATTTAACAATTATGTCTTTTTTATGGATTAATGTTTTATCATTATTGTAATTTTATTTTATTTTATTTTTTTAAAGTTGTACTTACGTAAAGCGTCTTAAAGCAGCTCGCTGAGTTGAATTGTTCATTTGTAAAAGTAGTGTAATATTAATGTGTAATAAACTTTGTATCATAATATATTTGTATAATAACATGTTTGTATTTATGTCCCATTAATATAAACTGATATAAATAACATACCCTTTTAAAACGCCCGTGGTAATAGATTATTATCACTTCCTGACCATCAAGTCATCAGCAATTCTTTTAATCACTCTACAGATCAGAGTTTGTGAGATTTTTTTTTCAAACTTACTGGGGTTGTTTAGCAGGTCATAAGGAGGAACCCTATTGAAATTATTCATAGATTTATTGCACCTGTCATTGAAACATTGTAAATGCTATACAGATTAGAGTTTTTCAGATTTTGATTTGAAACATGTTACTTTACCTGGAAAGCTATCTTTGTTTATTGATTTGCTTGTTGATTTGAGTGTGAGTCCACTGAAATATTTGACCTGACAATCTTTCTTAGTCTCAGATGACTAAGGAAATGTGTACAATTTTTAAAAATTAACCAGTTTCTGAAATATTTTTTTGATAATATTCTTTTATTTTCAGTTATTGGAATTATTTGATAGTGAGGACCCAAGAGAAAGAGACTTTCTAAAGACGGTTCTGCATCGTATTTATGGAAAGTTTTTAGGACTGAGGGCTTTCATCAGAAAACAGATTAATAATTTTTTTCTCAGGTAATTTAGGTTTTATTCAAAAGTAAACAAAGAGACTGGATACCATTCAGAATCTTGGAAAAAGCAAGAGAATCTCTGCATATTATTTAGAATGAGTTATTACAAACAGAAATGTTTTTGTGGGCATTACAACCAGAAATATTTTTGTGGGCATTACAACCAGAAATCTTTTTGTGGGTAATACAACCAAGAATGTTTTTGTGGCTGGTACAACCATAAATGTTTATGTGTACATAAAACAAATTTTCAGTTTCAAAGACTAAGATCATGTATTACTACTGACAATGAAGTAATAAAGTAATAATCATGTCCACTGTTCATTAGCCTACCAACAGGATTAATTGATTTAGCACCTATTTCCTGGCAGATGACATTTATGAATTTCAAAAGTCTGTACAATTTTTATTATTCAATATTTCTAAGTAATTTAAACCTTTAAGTTATAGACCTATCCATCATCCATTTATGTAAGCCTTGGGTATACATTGTACCTCAGTATATTTTTTTTTAAAATCATGCCGCTTCTGAACACATTTTGGTCATGGAGAAGTCGTCCTTATTTCAAGTCACCTGCAGAGAGTTTTTCCACAAGTATTAGAGTGAAAGTTATCCTTAAAACTAAAAATTATTTTTATACATTGCAACTGACAATTTTTTGTCATGTATCTTCCAGAAATAACTTCCTGTACAGTATTGTCCAAACAATATAGTTCACAGGGTAATTAATAATGATTATTAACAATAACCCCATAGTGATTTAACAAGATCAAAATTAAAACAAAAACGGCTTCCTTATAATGTGGATAATATAATAAACCACAAACCACATCAAAGTTCCAATCTAATTAAAATCGGTGTTACCTATGGGCAAGCTCTACAAGATTTAATTTTTGTTTCGAAAGATTAAGTGGAATTTGTCTAGATTAACTATTGCTACAGCATGTACATGTATGCTGATGATGGACCACATATTGATTTATCTCGACACTGGCTTTATCTATAGAAGTACAATTTTTTTTAATGAGGACATTATATAGTCATCCTCAACATATATGATTTGATGAAATCGACGATTTTATTTTAACCATTTTAAATACTAAAATGAGACCATGGTTAGGCATTTTAAAACAGAATAAGAAATTCAAATGGTGATCTAAGCTTCTACTGCCTTTATTTATATTGATTGGAATGGTTAATCTCGGATCAAATTATAAATCGTTCTGGCCATCAGACGAACGCATTTTGCCTCTATTAGACTCATTATAGTGTCTCTCCAAATGTTTCATTGATTTATCTTAATAATTAAAAAAGATTATGGTTTCATTATACATCCATATTTTCATGTGGATATATTGTAATATCCTGTCAACTCTTAAAGAACATTGTGGGGGGGGGGGTGGATGGCTGAATGGTTAGCGTGCGCGCGCTGTATCATAAAGTCTGTCATTGAGTCGACTGGCGTGGTTTCGAATCCCCGGTTGTACATGGGTTTTCTCTGGGTCCTCCAGTTTCCTCCCACTGCTAAAGACCCCTACGCGCAAGCCAATTATTATTGAAATAAAATTAAACCAAACGTATAGTCCCGAAATGACCTAGTATGTGTTGAGTGGATGTTAAACCCCATTTCTCTCTCTCTCTCTTAAAGAACATATTACTGTAAGGTTTATGTGAAGATGAAAAGGTAAAGCCTGTTAATAAAAAAAATGATAAATAATCTACAAATCCAGCTTTTAAATGGCAACTGTCACTATTTTAACATCAGCAGCATCAAAGTTTATAGCCAAAAATTTAAAACGTTAGGTTTATATCTGTCAAATAAACATGGTTGTTACCCTGAATATGCCATAACATGGTATTTGACGCCTTTTCTTTTACTAGTGAGTTTTAAGCACCCCTGCATTACAGGCTAATTAGACATATTCATCCTTTCCAAAACCAATGTCCATCATTCTGATAAATTTTGTATTGAAAAATTGATCTCATTTTAGCACAATATTTGCAATGGGTATAGGTGTTCGGTGGGGTGGCAAACTTGATCACTGATGAGTAGATTCTATACAGTGTTATTATGCCTGTTTGCATGAGTTATGCTAGTGTAGCTTTAGCAATACACTGGATGTGATCAGATTGTAGATCTTATTACCTTAATATTACATTTCACACATGCATTATAAGGCATTTGGTCTTTTTCTTATACTAAGTGGAACTGGATGTTATACATTGGTCAACATAAATAGTATGATATAAGATATATTTGGAATCAGTAGCAAAGTAATTGTAAAATTAAACAACCTGTTGTAAAATAGCCATTTATTTAAACTGGAACTAGTATGATATGGAATGATGATATCATGAATGATCAGTCTCCTAGGGATAATCCATGAAAATCAAGAGATGGTTTATTTACAGTAGGGTCCAATTATCTATCAAGGTTTCTTGTTTTAGTGGCATATCAATCCAATTCCATTTTCATGACTTTGAATAATGTTGGAACTGTTAAACATGAACATGAATCTTTATGTTGACCTATAAATATGTTTGGTTGATGAGTAAGATATAAATGGAAGAGATAATATTCCTGTCATATTTTTATATAAATAACTACATAGACTAATGCTGCCAGGCTATAATAGATCAATTATTTTATGGTACTAACTGTGATTTGTGTATTTTATTTTTATCATATAGCTATTCTGTTACATATATTTATTGCACATAATATTTCAAGTTTTCACCAGCTGTGTCCTATGTAAAAACATATATAGATTATATTGACGTTGAACTTGTATTTTATCTAGGTTTATATATGAAACTGAGTCTTTTAATGGTATTGGGGAATTATTGGAAATTCTAGGCAGGTAAGGAAGAAAGATTATTGATTTTTTTCCATTTTAACTACCAAGCTAAATAGAGTGTAGACGTTGTCTTAAAGGTCTGCAATAATTGTTTTATCCAGTATGGCGGATGAAGACTATACTTAAACTAAAATTAATGTGTTCACGGGTAATTGCTTCTGTGTCAACTTCAGCGATAATAAAATATGTACAATGTAATATTAAAATGATATTTACTGCTTGTAAACCTTAAAATTATTACCAGTACTGCAGTTGATCAGTACTCATGCTGATAAATGCATTGTTAGACAACATAAAAAATGATTTAACATCAATGCATAATAATAACTGCACCTTAAGTCCTGATTCACCATTTGCAATCTTTGCTAAAATATCAAATTTATCACAGCTTAGTCCACGCTAATATGTACATAGACATAGTCCTAGCTTGGGTGCAATCAGATTTTAAAAAGGCATATCAATGAATTTTCATGGACACTAAAATGGCGGTGGGCTTATTGGATACCGAGCAGCATTGATCGATGAAGTTCCAATTCCTCATATATTCGTAAATACTGATATATTGAACCATTTTTGGACTGATATTCCTATTAGAAATTAACCTTTCACAATAGTGTAGTAGTTTGCAAGTGTTTCTATAGCGCTAAAATGACACATGAGGCTAGTAGTTTCATGGGTCCGCTGTATGTATGGACATATTATGTAGGTAGCTAAATTTAAAACAATTGGACAGAGAATCTATTATCAAACACAGATATTTGCTTCAAAATTTGCAAATGGTACAGTTTTTTTGCATATTTTCTGATTTTTCTAAGATTAGCAACACTTTTTTTTTTAACATTATCTCAATTTGTAAACAAATCTTTCATTTTTTTAAAATTAACTACAGTAAATTTAACTGTATTGTGACTTTGACATACTGGTACTTAATTTGGGTAATTTTCCAGTCATCACTGCTTGTCAGTTCTGCCCCCCTGAACAAAAGTGATGAATGGATGAATTATATCTGTTTTCAAATTTTATGTCAATAATACCTCTTGATGTCACATTCTACCAAGATGTTGTAAACTAAAAAAAACATTTGAAATAATGTACAAACAAAAAACCTTTGTTTGACTGCATGAAAGTAGTCCGTATAAACCATCATTTCTAATGACAAATATTTAATTCATCACCAGTATTAAACATAGATTTAATTAAAATATTTGGGTGGACAATATACAGAGCATGCTGGACTCATGTATTTCTATCAGATTTGTTAATTATTTATATTTGTTCTAAAGCATTTGTTTGGTCCAATACGGACATGACAATTTTCCCTCAATGGGGTGAACTGAGACATTTTCACACATTTTTCTCCCAAAACATTTGTTGGATTTCATCTAAATTTACATATTCTCCAACTTTTTCAAAATCAACCTTCAATTTCAATCAAACTTGACACATACATTTGTATGTTGCCTTGGTAGTGGCTATTCAGATTTTTTAAATTAATTTGCTGGCATTGGGGCACCTTTACGAGTCATGTTAGATTTTGGATACCAATGCAAATGTATGAAAATAACTTTGCTTGGCCCCATATGGAGAAATTAATACCCAATCAAACAATGGATGATTTAGCCCATTTGGGCTCTTGTTTTCAGCAACTAGATATAATGTTTTACTGCATCTATATGAATAGTACTGGTATATACATGTATGTCTACTATAAGCAAGCTTTTATCAGCTAGACTACAAATGTCTTGCTGAAATAAAAGAAACAAGACTATCACCATTATTCCTTTGTCTGAACTAATGGATTGATCTAATTATTCTTTTGTCTCATTATTCTTTTATATCTCCATGAATAGTATTGGAATCATTTGATACATTTCAACTGCCATGTATATTAAAATGGGTTTGTGTGTCCCTCTCTATTTGTCTATATTCATCAAACTTTTTGGGACACAATAACTGCTGCTAATTGAGCTGATATGTTCAACCTTGTGTAGTTGTTCATTAGGCATTTACATCAATACCTTGACTAAGGTTGATAATGAGGATTTTATTTTTTGACAAGAACGAAATAATGAGTGACATCTATATATTTTGGGATTGAGCCTCAAATTGGCTTGTTTCTGTAGATCTGGATTCATCTTTGATAACATTTAAGATAAACATTTTGAGATTGAAAATGTACATTGTATGTCTGCAAAAAAAATGAAGAGGTGGGCCTTGTACTGTGTATGTCTGCAAAAAAGTGAAGAGGTGGGCCTTTCTTATTTACAGTGTGATTGGCCTTGAAACCCTTTGTTGCTATGTTACATTTCTACTATAATTTCTCTGTCTTTTCAGCATTATCAATGGTTTTGCTTTACCGTTGAAAATCGAGCATAAACAGTTTTTAACTAAGGTTCTTATACCTCTACATAAGGCACGAAGTCTTAGTTTATATCATGCACAGGTAGGTTTAATATTTCATATGTTAGAATTATTGATTAACTGCTTGGTCCAGGAAAGCCAGTTGGATTTTATTGAAGAAAAACTAGTTGGTCTGGCTACACATGTTCTTTTTGGGACACAATAACTTTGCATCTAATTGAGGTATAATGTTCAAACTTGGTTCTGCTTAAGCTAAGCAGAGATAAGCATTTTCAGCTTGCCCTACCTGAGCAGAGATAGCACGCGCGCCTGTATCATACGGTCTGTCATTGAGTCAACTGACGGGGTTTCGATTCCCCGGTTGTATGTGACAAGGAGTAGGGTTGCCTGTCCAACCTCGTGGGTTTTCTCCGGGTCCTCCGGTCCCCCCCCACTGCTAAAGACCCATACGCGCAAGCGAATTATTGAAATAAAAAAATGAAACCATATGTTAGTCCCGAAATGACCTAGTTTGTGTCGAGTGGACGTTAAACCCCATTTCTCTCTCTCTCACTCTCTCTGAGCAGAGATAAGCAATTTTTGTTGATTTGTTGCTTTGGAACATGATAAATTTGAATATAATTGAGGTAGAATGATTAATCATGTGTATAGTTTCATTTCATCGATCAGAGACTAGATTTGATAATGAACATTTTCTGCTCGGATTTTAAGTGCATAAATAAGCAATTTGGTTGGTTGAGACTTGGAACAAGATAACTTTGATTCCAATTGAGTGAGGGTGATGAAACCTTGGTCTATAATGGTCATTTTCTACATAGGTTGAACAGAGTGATAAGTAATTGCACTGATGACTTATAAAACAAGAGTGTCGTCTATTTATTTTGGGATAAAGGTGGGGGACGTCAACCCCACTGTTGGCTTGTTCGGCCTATTAATGCTTTAATTACTGTCTGAAATATTACAACACAAAACTTGTTAGAACTACACATATAGTAATTATTGGAAAATATCACTTGAAATATTGTCCAAATAGTAGTACAAGTGTTAATCTGAGAACAAAGCTTCTTATAAACTAGCTGACTGAGCTTAAGTTATAAGTCTGTCTCTTAAGCTTCTTATGGAAAACACTATCCCCTGAATGTCATACATTTCACTGTATATTACTGTTATCTATCTATTATTATACTGAAGGTTATTCTCTATATGTACATTTATTTATCACAAAATAAAACATTCCTTCATTCAGTACTATATAGACCAGTCAGTCAAAATTATCCCATAGTTTATTTTGACATACCGTAATTAACAAAATGTGTGCTCCCTAATTTCTGGGAAAACTTTTATTTAAACGTTCATGCTTTATTTGTAAGTTTCTGCGTACGTAACAATTCTATATATGAAACAAATGTTCTAAATGTGTAGAATTCCTGGCATTTACAAGAGCAGAGCATTATGTTATTTGTCTGAATTTTTCTATTGATTTTTTCATGTGTTGATTAATGACTGTGCAGTGTGCACATATTCAATGAATATGGTATTAATTTATTTACAGTGGTGAAAATACTTTATCAATAAAATTGTTATTGTTATGTATTATAGATCCATTTTTTATTGACTATCATTTCTATACATTATTGTTAGTGTTTAGAACACTGGTCCCACAAATAGAATATTATGGGTTTGAATCACAGATTGAGCCAAGTAGAATTTTTAAAACCTTTTCCTACTTGCCAGGCACTGGCACATGCAGGGTTTTCAAGGAAACTGTCTAGTTGTTGGTGATGGAAAGCAAATTACTGCTGGTGCACGTAAAATTTTTGTAACTTGCGTTGTACTGGTAACCATACAAATAAAAATAAAAATATTAAATTCCATTCTTTGCATTATATACGTTTATAAACTGTTTTATGTCTTGAAATATTTTTCAAATCTTTTATAAGCTTGGAGCAGTAGGAAGAACCTTACTGAAAGCATATTTGTTAAAACTCTCAAATCATAGAATTTTCTGACCGTTTGATATTTTTTTTATTAAGGCCTTCGACTCTGATATAGGACAGAGTGGTTAATGGAATTTTTAAAACTTTGTTTGATAGACTTTGGTGCTTGTGGGCATATATGTTAGGAAAGACCTTGCAGACCTTGAATAAATTGATAACATTAGCATAAAATTTTAAACAAGCTTTTTTTGTCATTTAGCTTGCATATTGTGTTGTCCAGTTTTTGGAGAAAGATGCGACATTGACAGAAGATGTAAGTAAAAACTTTAATGACAATAATACCACAAAATGATTTATCTGTAATGGACTTTCCCAATAAATGAGAAGTAATATTGAGCCTTCTAGAAATCCTAAAAATATCATCATTACTTCATAATCACCACTTATTATTAGCTACAAGCAATAATTTGGACTTAAATTTTCAAAGCCAGATATTGATAATATTGGTATTATTTTAACAGGTTATTAAAGGCCTGTTGAAAGTATGGCCAAAAACTAGTAGTCAGAAAGAGGTATGTATTTTACTTTATCAACATTTATTGTATGAAAAATTGTTTAATCTTTAGCTAAAAAAGGAAACTGTATATACAGCCATATAGTGCTGTCTAGAATATGGTTAGAGCAAAATAAAAGTAAACATTTACATAGAATTTGTACGACATGTGGATTATGAAAATTGCAACACTGTATACGTAATACACAATATTCTTAATTTCTTTACAGATCTCTTTGCTTATTATTATTATTCCAATAAGGCCATAATGCCACAAATTTCTGAGATTGTTAAATTCGTCAAGCGGTACTTTGTATCTGATTACCTTTATTTCCGAAAATCAAATGAATCTCTTCTACACCTATAGAGACTGGCTGTTGAATTTGATACTTACATGGCCGAAATCAGTCATTGTTAGGGTGCCCCACAGCCCAAATTTTCTCTATTAAAAGTTGTACACACCACAGCTAATGTGCACGCTTCAGTGACTAGTCCTGAACTGATTTCTGGCTAGTCACGCAGTGCGAGAATACTGGACTTTAAATAGCAATCGCACGTTAAATTTTCAACACATCTGTCGACTGTTAAAGCCGTAAAAAATCTATTGTTAACGATTCTGAATAACAATAATATTTCTGCATCGTTGTTACAGCATCTTTGGAAAATTACATTCGTTGTGTTTTTTTAATTTGCTATATTATGAACTATACCATTAGGAGTGGCTTCTTTTTGATTTAGTAAAATTAATATCTGCAAAGCTCTTTCTTTAGACAAGAATAGCATACTAGTAGTATCTTCCTTTTGTTTTTACAAGGTTCTCAAAACAATTGTGGAGCTCCCTAATATGCATGTTTCTAAATTAGATTTATTGATCTAGCTTTCTGTAACGTTTCATAGAAAATAGTCTTGATTATCCCGGACTGTCAATCAGCCGGAGAACGGTCGGTAGACTGGTTAGAAGGGACTAATTTCATATCAAGGGCAGATAATCTATTTTGCACTAAAAAAATGCCCAGATTTAATGGCGGCTGCTTGACAACTTTTTCAGTCTAATTTTTTGATTATTTGGGGAAACTGAAATCTGATTTATAGTATTTATAGGCGTCATGTATGTCTGATCGGAGAAAATTACATCCTATTCTGCATCAATCTGTTTCACAGAGAATTACGAGTCTTAGAGTAATATCTCTGTCAAAGCTGACTGCCTTAACACGTGCCGTCACAGCACGCGGCGTCAATCATTGGCTGAATGGCGCGTGCATTGTTTACATAAGACATTACTGCTTCAAGCGGAATGCTGCCTTTTAGTCATTTTAATACCCATTTACACTAAATAGGAAATAATTTTTACCTACAAATACGTCAAACACCTTTATTTATTTTTCCAATACATAAAAAAAAGTTAATATTGCTGGCTCATTAAGTTGCATCGATGTCATCTTTATCAGTGATTATAGCGGCCTAGCGAAAAATTCACTGCTGATCAGCGTGATTCTGTATTTGAACAGAAATATTCCAGATTTTTCAACTATATATGTAATAATGTTTATATAAGGTGATGTTTCTTGGTGAAATAGAAGAAATATTAGATGTGATAGAACCTACACAGTTCCAGAAAATAATAGATCCTATGTTTAAACAGATATCTAGGTGTGTGTCCAGTCCACATTTTCAGGTAGGTGTTCTTAATTTATTCATTATGGCTGAAATCTAAACCTATAATGTTATATTTAATTTCTAAAAGGAATGATAGTGTAGAAATAGTTTAAATTGCGCTGTACAATATATATTACATAAAAAAACTATAAAAAATAAAACATACGTTTAAAAATCTATAATAATTGTATAAAATTAAAACAGTAAAAATAAATCTATAAATCAAAAGCTTGTTTGAATAAAAGTGTTTTCAATTGCGATTTAAAACTCGATAAAGAGGTAGAACTTCTGAGAGTAAGTGGGAGCTTATTCCACAGTTTAGGGGCCTGCACTGTAAACGATCATTCACTGTAAGTTTTCAGTCTAGCTGTTTTACAGACAAGTGAATAATGGTCACTTGAGGACCTCAATGTACGAGTAGGGGAATATATATCTAAAAGCGACGATAAATACAACGGTGCCATATGATTTAAACATTTAAAAGTTAAAAGAATGACCTTATATTGAATTCTAAAAACAATGGGTAACCAGTGAAGTTGAATTAAAATAGGGGTGATATGATCATTATATTTACTTCTGGTAATGAGTCGACCTGCGGCGTTCTGAACCTTTTGCAATTTATCAGTGAGACGAGATGGTAAACCAATAAGTAACGAATTACATTGATCTAATCGTGATGTGACAAGCGCCTGAACAACAGTTTTGATGGACTCAACTGGCAAATTTTTACTGATTTTACTTATATTCCTCAGTTGAAAATAACAAGATCTGCAAATATTGCTAATTTGTTTCTCCATGGATAGTTCACTGTCAAAGATAACACCAATGTTACAGACTGAAGATGTTGGGATTATTTCATGCTCACCAACTAAGAGTGAAACACCTTTATCAAACTTAGATACTAAACTGTTTGATCCAAAAAGAATATATTCAGTCTTTTCGTCGTTCAGTTTAAGGAAATTGATTCCCATCCATACACGAATTTCAATAATACACTCTTCAATTTGATATTTTGATGTATTGAAATCTCCAGGCAGAGAGGGTTTAAACGACAGGTACAACTGAGTGTCATCTGCGTAAAGTTGGAACTGCAGACCATGTTTCTCAATAATTTTGGACAATGGGGTGGTGTATAATCTAAACAAAATTGGGCCTAAAACTGGGCCCTGCGGTACACCGAAGCTCAGATCTTTTTTGTCAGATTGTTTGTTGTGTATAATGACAGATTGGGAACGATTTGTTAAATAAGATTTAAGTAGTTCGAGAGCTAAACCAGTTACACCAAATTCACCAGCAAGTCGCGAGAACAGCACCTTGTGGTCAACTGTGTCAAATGCTGCAGAAAGATCTAAAAGCAGCAAAAACACACAGCTTTGATTATCAATGGACAAGAGAATGTCATTTTGTACTTTTAACAGTGCAGTTTCTGTGCTATGATATTGACGGTAGGCGCTTTGATAGGTGCTGAGAAGACTAAATTCAGATATATAACCAATCAATTGTTTTGCGATGCATTTCTCTAGAACTTTCGACACAAAACTTAGGTTGGATACCGGCCTATAGTTCTTGACTTGGTTTGGATCAAGCGAGGGTTTCTTAATGAGAGGGATTACATTGGCATGTTTATAGATATCTGGGAATGTTCCGGATCTAAACGAAGAGTTTATGATGTCACGAATAGTCGGGAGTAATACCGGAAGCTGATCTTTCAGTATCTGTGTTGGCAATGGGTCCAAGGCACATGATTTTGTTGCCATAGATTTGATGACACGAGAGATTTCGTCCTGAGACAATATTTCAAATCTGTCCAGAGCATTCGAAATGTTTTTCTCATGGTCATGAATGGAATTTTTATCAGTGAAATTATTCCTAATATTAAGGATTTTACTTTCAAAATATTCTGAGAATCGAGTTGGCAAGTCCAAATTATTTACGGAGGGTAATATTTTGACACCATGGTTGTGGTCAAGAAGAGAATTAACAACCATATAAAGTTCTTTAGAATTATTACTAGTTTCTATCTTGTCTTTATAATATGAAGCTTTTGAGTTTTCAATAAGACGCGTAACACTAACTTTTGCCGCGTGATAAATTTCCCTATGAACTACTAAACCTGTCTGTCGCCATTTTCTCTCCGTCCTATTACGCCCCCGTTTTGCCTCACGTATCTCTTCATTAAACCACACATTCCCTGGTCTGACCTTGATAGTTTTAGTCTGAATTGGAACAACCTGATCTAACACATACTGGATACATTCATTGAAATGAACAGCTTTTTGATGAACATTTTGTATCGATGCGGTTTCTGATATCCGAGAAAAATCCAATGACGATCTAAATTCGTCAGAATTCATTGATTTAAATTTATGATAAGTTATCTGTCTAGTAGAGATAGTAGCTCGTTTAATATTGAGGTTCATTGTAAGTGCGAAATGATCAGATAGAAGTTTATCCGTAACCTCCACATTGTGAACTGATAACCCGTCTTCTCTAGTAAGGATGAGGTCCAAAATATGGCCACGAACATGAGTAGCAGTATTGACATGCTGTAATAATTAATGGGATTTGATAACATCTTCAAACTGAACAGCCAATGAGTCGTCCTTCTAGTCCAGATGTATATTAAAATCACCGGTAATCAAAAGTTCAAGATTTGAGGTTGATAATTTGTTTAACAGGTCTGAAAAATCTTCAATAAATTGTGGACTGGTATTGCGATTTGGAGGACGATAAATAACAAATATTGAAACTTTAGAATTCAGGATACACTCAAGATATTCGAAAGACGAGTAAGAAAATTGTTTATGTCTCTACACTTTGAGGGCGATTTTAAAAATCAGTGCTACACCACCACCTCTTCCTGTTAATCTGGGTTTATGAAGTATTGAATAACCCTTAGGTATCAGGGAAGATAGCACAGGGCCTTCGCTATCACCACTGAGCCATGTTTCGGTTACTGCGAATAGATCAAACTCATTTTCACAAATAAATTCGTTCAATTCAATTGATTTATTCCGCACAGAACAAGCGTTTAGCAAACAAAGTTTTAGACCACATTCTTTACGTGAAGGTTCTTGCAACGCCTTCGGACAGTTTATTTGAATAAGGTTGCTTAAATTAGGTTTACCGGGAACAGCTCGGTCGTTTCCAAATGGGGGAGAAGTTATCACACTAATACGATGCTTTCTATTTTTTCCCGAGGAACACCCTCTCCTAGTTTTCTGAAAATTCGTTATGTTACTTGTAAGAGTTTTAAGATAGTCTATATGTGTCTTTTTAAGTGGGTTAAAGTCTCGCAAGGACAGCAGTTGGTCTCTTGAGTAAGTTAGACAACAGTTTTGGCGCTCATTCTTCGCCATAAATAAAATGTTGATTTGGCAGCAATTGTTCCCCATAAAAGTCAGAGTTGTCAGTAGTGAAACTTGTAAACACACTGCTAAATTTAGTAAAGACCTAAACTCAGTCAGTGATTTCATGCTTGACTTGCCATTGCTGATCAGTTGAAATAATATAAAATTGTCAAATTCTTCAAAGTTAAAATACAACGTTACCACAAAACTGCATCATAAGATTCTCTGCTACATGAGAAACACACTGGTACCACTTTTATAAACAGGCAATATGATTTAATAGCTTAACTTTGTAAAATAGAACAGACACACAAAACTGAGAGCAGCCATAAGCGCATCATCACATACTATTCGTGATATTTGTGTACCAAGTCTTTTCAAGAGAGATCTTCACAACGGAGTCTTATTTTTCAGACAATCTATAATCACATCTATTTCTTAATTAACTCTGAAAAGGACAAACTTCAATAGCATATATAATTGAGAATTTGAAAGGTTAGGCAGATTGCATAGCAACTCAACTGTCAACTCTTTCTTTCTTCAAGAATGTTCAATCTTGTGTATTAACAGTTATGGTATTTGGCTGATGGAGTTGAAACCAGGGCTATATTTGGACATATTTTGTTTACCTCGGATTAACAAGATATTTTTCCAAGGAATATGATTATTTTAGCATTATCCAATTGTTTAAACAATACTTTTGAGTTATTTAACACATAAAAAGTTTAATTGTTTATAATGTGTTCATAGTTTTATGACATGGACATTAACTGACAGGTAAATTTTGTCACCGGTCAATTACACTCAGTTAATCAAGACTCAAAAATATGACTGAAACAAGAGCCCTGGTGGGAATCCTAAACATATTATCATCTTGTTAATAATTGAAATCATGGTTCTGGTCCCAACTCAAATCATGGTCATATCATGAAAGTTTCTGATTGTCATTATTTTGAGGGATTGTTAAACACTTGCATGTTGAATGTCAAAAGGGAGTATCAGTTCTAATATAATCAACCTGATTACATTTAAGCCATGGAAAATATAATTGATTTTTTTTCAAATAAAGTCTGATCATCTTTTGAGGGATGTCTATTCCCTTACAAACTATAATGATGTGAAAGTTTAATATTTCATTCCAAAAACAGTTCAAATCTGTCTAGTATTTACAATGATGTTATGAATTGAAATTTTTCAACATTTGACATTAACTGCATATGATATAAACAGGATAGTCAAAACACGCTACCTACACCTTCAGTCATTGATAGCTCTTTTTTTCAATCTAATTTGTTCTGTTTGTCAATTAAATGTGAAATAATCAATTTCAGTACATTTTAGTTTGGACTTAGCTGTGATATGCAAATGGTGATCACAAATTGATATCATATCCTTAATTCGATTCATCATCCTATCTCTACCTTAAATCATCATAATTATTTTAACTTCAATTATATTCATATCCTTAATTCGATTCATCATCCTATCTCTACCTTAAATCATCATCATCATTTTAACTGCAATTATATTCATTACTAGATGGATGATGATAACCTGTTGTGATAGATTAGAGAAAACAATGAAATTCTTACAAAGAGATCTACAGAGATGGGACAGTTGTATAATAATCATATTGTTGTGAAGAGTACTATAATATTTTGTTTTATTACTGCAGGTAGCTGAAAGGGCATTATATTACTGGAATAATGAATATATAATGAGTCTAATAGAAGAGAATTCAGCCCAAGTGTTACCGATAATGTTCCCAGCACTGTATAAAATATCTAAGGAACACTGGAATCAAACAATTGTAGCACTAGTCTACAATGTATTAAAAACCTTTATGGAGATGAATAGCAAGTTATTTGATGAACTAACAGCTAATTATAAATCAGAAAGACAAAAGTAAGCTCAATTTGTATACACTCATATTTTTGTTATCCCTGTCAATCCACTTTTTGTGTTTACTCTCTCAGTAGAGTTGAGTTCTTCAGTGATTTTCATCATATTTTCAAGAATACTTAGCTGGGGTTACGATGGTCCCCATCAATTTCAAATTTTTTCACAAAAATATTTTCAGAGTTACAGCCTTTGGGTTATATAATTGTGGAATAACATACCATTGTACTCCTACATAATTACATTCTTGTTCAATTTTCATCAAATATTTAGGAATTGTCAGTACTGGTATTGGAATATTGGTGATACCTGCCGATTCTGAAAACGTACTTCCAGCTATTTATATGAATTTTGATGAAAGTTTATTAGCCAACTCAAAGTCCACTCTAAAGATTTGAGTTCTTGACCAATTTTCATAAAAATGAGATCATGATCATTGTCTACAGCACAAGTTCATAAACAACCCCAAACTAAATGTATGATGTAAAAATGAGGGAAATATAATGAGATGCAGAATCTTATTAGAGCCAAGAGAAGCCATTTTGGGAATAACATATAATTCGTTTATGCATAAGGGTCTTTAACAGTGGGAGAAAAACATGGAGGACCTGGAAAAACTCACAAGGCTGGACAGGGGACTCTACTCCTTGTCACGTACAAGCTGGGATCAAACCATGCCATACCTTTATGATCTAAAGCGCACGGTTAAACTACTCAAGCACCCAACCCTCTATTACTTTGTAAACAACAAAGTGACTGGCAGGCGTAGGTCAGGTTGTCTTGCAAGTTACTTTATTATATATATTTTATTTAACAAATAGACAGAAATTTATGACATAATTGTAGCATATGTGTAGTAATTTCAAGATAATGTAAAATATATTTAAGAGAATATTGATATAAATAATAGTTTAAAGAATATCTGCCAATCTATTGTACTGGTCATATCCATCGTATTTATGTGATTGGTTTGACAGTAAGATACTTGCCACTAAACCAGGAATGTCTGGAATCATTCCTACCTAAATGTCAAACTAACTTTACTTTCTTTCCAATTGGTCTGCTGTATGTCCGAAGGGCCCAGGAAGGTTATGGTCTTGACTGATTTTGATGACGAGGATTTTCTCCGCTTAGGCTAAGCAGAGATAAGAAATTTCATTTGTTGATGCTTTGGGATTTGATAACTTCGATTCGAATTAAGTGATAAAACTTGATGTATGGTTTCAATTTTGAGCATGAGCATTTTCTGCTCAATTTATGCAAATTTGATTGATTAATGTTTTGGAACATGATAACTTTGATTCTGGGCGAGTGTGTTTATAGTTTATGATCATCAATAGCGTCTTGAATAGCATGATTGGTGCAGAAAAGCACATGTAGGATGTCAAACCCCAGTCCATTTCATTTCAGTACCTTGATTAAGTTTAAAGCCTAGGGACAGGGATTTTACATAGACTAAGCCTGTTCCCCAATCTCCTTCAAATATCCCGAATAAAAATATTGTTCAAAAAGAAAAAGCTTCACTGTTGGGTGTTTTTTTTTTAAGATGTATGTTTCAGAACACAAAGGAATTACTGTTTATGATTTAATGATTTTTTAATCTTTGAACAGCCAAACAAATTGAACAGAAGCATCTGAACTCTGTGTGAGCCTACTAGATTTACATTTAAATATTAATGAATAATTTATGTTTTTACAGGGAAAAGAAGAAAGAAAAAGATAGAGAAGAATTATGGAAGAAATTAGAGAAGTTAGAGCTTAACAGTAAAAACAAAATAATGAACAACTCGGTCAACGCGGTTTCTAGTTAGTTAGTTTGAATGTAGAGCTTTTATCTCTGTCTAAATGTGAGGATAGATAAACTCCTCAATATATTTAGTTGTTGACAGTAACATTGAGTCAAGTCATATGTACATTAAAACAAACAGATGGAGTTGAGCTGAAAGAATATTGTCATGTTTGTTGACTAGATGTCTGTATCTAAAACTTTTGGTTTTTTTTTCTTTTCTCTATTCAAAAGAAAAGAATGTGAAAATGGAAGGTTTGAGTATATATTAAAAATGAGGAAAGTGACAATTTATTTTAAGGAAATCGAATATATTATTGCTCTAATATTAAATGGTTTCTGACAAAAAAGTGAGTGAAATGTGTGAAATATGAAATATAATTATGATTAATATTATATATGGTAAATAGTATATTAAGTCACCCATAATGTGCCAAACCTCTGAATGTAGATTGTATGGTTCCCAAACAGTGTTCATATTAATGCTTAAGGTTATGTTAACTGGATTAGAGATTAAGCCGAATATATATACAGGAATGTGCCCAGAAAAATATTCATGCCAGGCGTTAATCATGGGCAGCGGATGCACCAAGGCAACGGCAACCCCCTCTTAATAGCAGCGGGAGTTTGAGGGTGGTTGATACGCCTTTTTCTATATATATCTTTATTTACAAGAAAATGGTGGTGGGAGGAAATCTACATCAAGATATTGTTGCCAGGCGGTAAAATATTGGTGTTGGGTGGTGTCTCTCTGTAATTTTAATAGTAGGCACATTCCTGTATATATAAACATTATTACTTACACTGTACATGAAGGTAAATAGTATACCATATAATGTAAAAATGCTATGATGTAGTATAGAGAAAATATGGTAATTTAAACCTTCTTGGATATAGATCCACTCTTTCAAATGGGTTTTGTTGATTTAAAAAAACCAAAAAAACTTTTGATGTTTAGAAGTAGGGTAGAAGCTATATTTTATTGCCATATTGTTTTGACAGAGAAATTGCTGCATTTATATAGCTGATAATTTAAGTAAACTACAGAGGGAAATATTGGGAAAAAAATGCAAAGTCTTCCATGATCGAAATCAAAATTTGGTAATATAAGTCCTTATTCATTATTATTTGTATTAATAATTAATAGTTTATATCTTGTGATTAAAACTAACTGTTCGGTAACCATACAATGATAATACAGAGGTTTGATTAACCTACTGACTAGATGTCCGACACTAATCATTGAACAAGTACAGCTTTTCTTCTTCTGTGGTTTTAATATAATATTGATAATAAGAAAGCTTGCCTTGACATTTTTTGTCTGTCTAGTAGTATCACTTGTTTGTGTTTGGTCCTTTCTTGGCTTTCAGAAGAACAGGGTGGAAAATACACAAAATGGCTGTTGTTATTTATTGGTTAAGGAGTTATCTCCCCTTTTCGATTGTTATGTTATTATTGTTTCTTTGCGTTGATAAAATAAGAATAATCATTGATACATGTTGGTGAGTATAGAGAAATGTTGTTTCTACATCATTTACTTTATTTTATAGAACTATAGAATACAGATCGATTCAAGAAATTTGACACATTATAAAATCAAAATGCATAATAATGTATTAACAGACGGTTGGAATTAATTAAGAACCAACATTTGGTCGAACATGGAAACAATATCTTATAATTTAACATATCATGACTACATTTGTTAATTAAATTTGTATTTGTTACTTCCATTATATGTCTCTCTGACTAAAAGGATGATTTTGGGGGTGATATTTCTTTTACAAAAGTCAATATTACTATTTGATCAATTGCTATACTTTGAGAATCAATTCTGTGTTAAAAGAAGCACACAGACATATTATGTGACAGAACTTGTTTCCTCATGGAATAAAATCTTTCCTACATATAATAAGAATCTCTCTCCTTTTATTATATTATTTGAAAATAATTGATAATTGTGATTGAAATTTGTATAGCTTTAATGTAAAATATGGTTATATTATTAATTAAGACTTGTGTATCATATCAGGATGTGTAACCATGTATACCTCATTGCTGCCATTTCAGATTCAAAACATATAACACCCTTCTTTAAATGGGCATTTTGGATTGTCCAAGATGTAAGTGTGAAGTTTATATTGTAAGTAAGATCTCTCTTTCAGTCTTGTGAACGTATTTATATGTAAGTCAATAATTATATATTAACATAAATAGCAGTAATAGTAAAATAAAAATGATTATCATTCTGTTCATTTTCAAAAAGACAGGCTTGTAAGTATACATGTAAGTTTTCTTGTTATTATAGAAAAATATTTACATGTTACAGATTGAATTTCAAGAACTTGTGAAGTGATACTGTGGGCTTATAATGATCATTTTAAAGCATAATATGATACAACAACTATTCTATTATATATAGGTTTATATTATGTTTATCTGTCATATTATTATTACATCTTTTACATGTAACAATAAAAACATGTTTAAGTATTTTATTAACCTAATATTCCACAAGTGTGTATCAGTAAAAAACTTATTTGTAATTGAAGAAAATTTCATGATCCAGATCAGTGATTGGGCTGTCTTTTGGTATCTCTGGTATTATTCATTAAAATGGATGATCTTGTTTACTAGTCTATAGTAGATTTATATACTGGCTCAGTTCATTATCATATATCAACATCGTACATATTTACAATAGATTGCAAGTCAGTGTTTTGTTAAATACCAATTTGGCATCTAGGTAAATGTTCCTAGGTGTGAGGAAATAAGTGGAGAATGATGGACTTTACATGTTGCAGTTGTTGTAAACTATGGTGTAACAATCTGTTTATAACCCTTCTAGAAGTATATCTATTTATATAATTATGTATATATACAACTGATAATTATAATCTGGATAATTAACATCAATGTTGGTAGGTGGGGATGCGGTTATATAAGCTACTATCTCTTTTACTTATGTCCTGTTTAAAATATCATTAATCTGTTGTTTTGAGTATGGTTTATGTATGTGAACCAGTTTCAGTCTAAATTTCACAATCTGTACATGGTTAAATGAAGAGGGATTGTACTAACTTCTAGGTTCTATCCAACCGATATTTGCTTAGAGTTAGCAATATTTTAGCAAGTAACTCCAAATATTTTAACCTCATTATGCGTACAAAGCAATATCGAAAGCAAACTCTGGGTTATGGTACCATTATTAAGTCAATATTTTGTGATCATGATATCTAAGATAGATATAAGTATCTGTAAGAGATTGATTATAGTACTTTGAAGACAATCTGTAGTTGGTCTGTACTGATTATACTGTCCGAATGTATTCATTGAAACCATTGCAATAGAGATGTGTATTAAAGTGCTGGTCACTTCACATATATATGGTATTGTATACATAATGTATAAAAATAATATGATTAAGAAATTGTATAATTGCATAGTTAGATCTTATTTTACCTCAAATTAGAAATTGTCTAGCTAAATTCATTTCTATATTATTTTTTCTTTCTTAGTTCTGCTATAGTTGTCTGTAAATGTAATATAATATATAGGTAATTTTTAAATTAAGCCTAATCTCATTGTCATTTTATCTCATTTGTTTAATGTGGTGTTTTGTAAGAACTGAAAGAGTACATTTTAGAGCAAGATTGATTGTGTATGTCTAGGTGAATCGTACATTTCATACATATGTCTGAAACATGATTTCTATTTTAATCTTATGAAATACATTGTATATGTAATAGCATCAAGCTGGAGGTTTAGTACAATTACTTCTGGAAATGTTATATTGTCTTCTCAATACATTTATTTAATGGTGTATGTGTGATCGCTCTGTCATATCAGCACTGCCATCATTTTGAAGGACTATATTTATATACATGGAATTTAATATCAAGTTAATCTGAATTTTAATTCTTGAGGTGTCATACAGAAAACAGTAAAATTGAGGGGGGAAATAAAATTTCTACTACAATAATCAATGTTACTTGTATAATTTTTCAGTTAGTCATATTTATTTGTTAGCAGATTCAAAAAATTCTATTTGAGAAATTTCAACATGAATTTCTATAATAAAACAGAATGAGGAGAAATTTGTTTCAAATTAATTCATTTAAATAAATCATGATATAAGGGTTAATTTTATGTTTGTGATTTGTGTTATTGTGTTTTTGTTATGTGCCATAATATTCTGGCTCTTAAACAACCCAGAAATCACAAAGGCTCTGGGGGGTTCAATACAGTTTGAAAAATTTGTTTAAATATTTTGATATACATACATACATAAATACATGTACATACAAACCTACATCTAATATATAATAATTACTTATATTGAATTTAGTACTGTTGTGTTGATCTAGTTAGATGGAGTTTTTGTTGGACATGTATTCATAATTATTGTATATCTGTTCATATAGATGATTTGTAAATCAAGTTTTAAAAAGTTTATAACGGTAATATTTAATGTGTGGAAGTAAATACAGTTAACAATTTATGATTTCAGCTATTTTATTCTTTAATTAAATTATGACTTCAGACTAATTTACATGTAATTTAATTAAGACTGGCTGGTTAGCAAACTTCTCCTTTTAAGTAGTATATTATTTGAGATGTATTCTTTTCCACTTCAGTTGATAATTTATATGCAATATTCCCCTCCTTCTATATGTAAATACTGTATTATGATTCTCCTTCCCTCTATAAACAAATGGCATCTGAAAGTGGAATTTCCATGTTCACTTTGTCTGAGAATTTGAAAAGAAAACTGAAGACAGCCAGAGATTTCTTTGTAATTTAATTCAAGATATAGATGCAAGCTATTTGCTGTGTATATAATGCTTTCTTCTTAATGCTTATTTCATTGTACATTGTGTTGCTTGAGTGTCACTGGCCAGGCAATACCAAGTAAATTTGTGCATAGCCCTCACCTAACCTTTTGTCCTTGTAAACTATGTCTGAAAATATTTTGTAAAATTAAAATATTCTCAACAAATTGTATGATGTTGTTTTCTGCAGATTTTTGAAAAATTAAGTTTATTTCTTGGGGAGGTAGTCGCCCAAATTGTGTTTCTTCTCATTGTTTTATCCAAGATAAATAAGACACCGGGGTATACGCATGTCTAGAATAAGAACAGCCATTGTTAGATAAGTAGGCAAGATCTAAGGAGCTTTTGACAGTACAGTACTTTAAAATTGTCAAGAAGGAAACGACTTGTTCTTTGTGTAGCACCAAGGAGTCCATCCAAAATAATTTCAGAAAGATATTTTCAGCCTGGCCCCTTTCTGTGTCCTGGCCTAAAGTGACCATATAATAAGCAAAATTATCAACCTCAATTATTTAAAGATACCTTCCCGGGTACAAACTTTGTGATTTGATGATATATTTGGACTAAAAACATATGCAAAGCAACCAATCTATCAAAAATTTGCTTTGTGTTCGCTGGGGATACCTATAGCTATAAGTAAGCTGTTGTTAGACGCAATGTCTGTCAACTTAGCTTCATTTTGGGAGGGTCCATTTTTCAGAATGTATTTATCATTACTTACTGTACATTTACCATACATATTGAGACCGAAATCTATTCCTAATTATTTTTGTCAACTTCTTTTTCTGCCGTTTAATGGCAGAGTCGTTTGTACGTTGACACCCCTCAATGTTCCCTCGCGTAAGCGTTTTTCGAGTAATCCAGCATTTTTCTAGTAAGATTGGGTGTCTATACTTTCCATGTATACCAAATATGACATACTTTTATTGGAAATAACCACCTGATAAATACTTTTCTGGGAAAGTATCTTTGATAAATCAATTTTCAAGGATAAATTATGACTTATATGGAAGAGCAATTACTTATTGGTGATGTTTCATGTCATTTCCTCAAATTAATACAGTGTTTGAAGAGCAATAAAGTTTCATGTATTTTATCTCAAATTATCAGGAAAAGACGCTTCTTTGGAGAGAATGTGTATTTCAGAAAATCAAATGTATTGTGTAGAAAAAGTTGTGGTTTTGACAAAGTATGAATGCTTGCCAGTAAGCTGAAACCAGTAGGTCCTAATAAGAAAGTTCTAATAACTCCAAATTGTTAAAAACACTATATCCACCACAGTGAGGCAAGTAGGTGTAAAAATCTTTCGAATCTGGATACATGTGCTAAAATTTGTATGAATCATTTATTAAAATCTGTTCGCCACTTGAATTCTCAAATGGCTGTCATTTTCCAAGATTGCTACCATTTTCTGCTTTTTAGTCACAGAATTTTACCTAGTGACCAATTATGCTGTCCCCGGTGACTAATGGGCTGGACATCTGAAAGTCTCCAGGCAACGTCTGGGTGTCTGAATGTACGTCCACATCTTTTTTTTTTGTGGACAATGTACAGGTCACAATTTTTATCCAATCTTGATAAAACTTAAATTGTATGTTTATCTCCCACTTATCTTGGTTAGGTTCAATTTTGCTGCGCATCAAGGTTCAACGTTTCAGTGCCATACCTTTTACGTATAATTGTAAAATATGTAGCCCATGAAGGTTGTGGGCACTCCAGTACGATTCAAATGAAACTTACAATATATATTAACAATCAAAAGATCTTCATGGAGCTTGATTTTGTTGTCATTCTTTTATGTGCATGACAATGCGTACATCCAAATGACTGGACGCTGTTCTTGAAATAATCGTCAGAAAAATTGGGTGTGACCCTTAGACATCAAATGTTAAGCAACAAAGTTAAGTAAAAATGTATGCACTGTATTTATATTTATTGCAATCAGCAACCATCCATGCTGCTGTCATAAGATTAAAAGCATACAAATATTGCGTGATGTACATACTTGCATGCAAACATATGGATCAAGAGTAGTCTACACTTGTAGGATGAAATTATACTTTATAATAAAGAAATTAAAACACAAATAAATGCTTTCAACATCTCCATCTTTCATTACAATAAATATACATTATCACAATTAACATCTGACTGATCATTTATATCATATATAAAACATGTATAACTACTTATAGCCTGTATAACATTTTCACTTCTCTTCTTGGCTTTATGTATGGTAGTTATTTAATACCTAGTAGACTATTTATAAATAATAGCACATATAATGCTGACAATGTAACAGAATATTTCCAACTACCGATCCTAAGAAATTATATATACATATAGTAGCTTCCATGAATTGTTATTGATGGATATCATTGATCTAACTTTGAAATAATCAATTATTAGATTTTGCCTTAAAACATACATTATGTTCAAAGGTAATGTTAAGTGGTATTTTAGTAATTGATAGGTAATAACAGAACACATTTAATTAATAACAAATACTTGTATCTTTAGTGACGATGTTTCAACGAGGGTGCTCTCTCTTGTCAGTATCGCTTTATCAAGACTATTGTTGAAACATCACTGGTAAATAACCAGTAATTGTTATCAATATAAATGTGTTGTGTTATTAACTAAAAATATTAAAAAATGTATTATTATAAGTTAATTTATATAGAATTAATTTAAGTATTAATTATACTATTTCTGGTATAAATTATCCTAATTTGAAAATGAAAACAACACCGCTTCAATAAAATTGTGAGATATCTAGTGGTATGTTCACAAATATTAGTTTTCACTAAACTCGTAATTGAGACATACCCGGTACAGACAAAATACTGATCAGTAGGGTTGCTATATAGATAACAGTTCGTGAAATAGAATCACAATAGATATTAAATCATATAGAACTGATTCCCACAAAGGCTTTACAATATAGACAATGAGAGTGGACTATTCATTAGCTTAGTTTAATTTAAATCTGGTATTCATTCATTTACTCTGTCATGTCCAATAATTTTCTTGTCTCAGTCAAAATATATTTTTGTAACAATTAATTTGTGCTTTTAGTAACTTACTTAGTGTGCATGATATCATACATTTTACTTTTCACAAAGGTCTTTCAAAAATTGTAACTTAATAAAATACCATGTAAATTCATTCCTCTTTACACAAAATACAGTTTTTAAAAAACAAACACAAGAAAAATAAGCTAAAATCAACAAAATATTCAAACATAACAGATCTTTAACAAATGATATAAACTAATAAATTCATCCCCCTTTATTACATAAATATACATTACTAAACATATCAAAATATACAGGAAAAGGATAGTGGATTTGGGGAAATTTTCCTCTCAATTAAAATGTATCCATGGCTTCAACTTCAACCCTTCCTCTGATTTCCACCCTCGGATATTTTTAAATGAAACACCTAGTCAGAACAAATCAAGATCTTTCTTCTGATATTTCATTTTATTGACGAAACACCTACAAACACACTAGTGAGATTACTAAAGTACAAAATAGTCAAACTGAAAAAAGAAAACAAGGGAGGCAAGTCTTTCAAAAAAAAAATAAATAAATAACATGGCACTTGGAAATAATTAGGAATGAAAATGTTACTGAAGATGAAACAATGACATAAACATAAATCATTTCTTTTTTTATCTGATACTATAATATGCCGCAGGTCATCATTTAAAATTGCCTAGCAACTAGACAATACCCATACATATATTGATAAATCAAACTGAATTTACATTATTTCTAATTGTGAAATCATCTACATAACTTTCTGTTACCATTTTAACAGTTCTCCATACAACATTTTGTTTCTAGTTAATTCAATACTGATACAATTTACATGTGTCCAAACTACAGGTGTGAAAATACATCTTAAATGCTGTCAGTCCAAAAGAGATACATACTCAGATATAGAGAAGGGTTTTTAAAGTGAAAAGGTTAATTTCAAAAAGTTTTTTTTAGGACAATTATGGTTTAATTAAACCTAATAAAATATTAACCATCTTTGACCACATTATTGAAAACTCAGCAGTGACAAAAACACCAAAATTGAATTTTGGAACTCTTCTTTGAAGTACATTGTAACGAAAAAATGTATTTCACATGAATTTACAGTAAACCTCGCTACACCATAGAGAGAAAAATTTGGTTCAACATCCACTCAACACAAACTACATGTAGGTCATTTTGGGACTAACATAATATGGTTTTATTTCATTTCAATAAACTGATTGCACTTAGGGGTAGCCAGCCCTACTCCTTGTCATATTCAGCGTGGGGTTGAAATCATGCTACTTTTCAGATCTTATAAAGCGTTTACATTAAACCACTCGATCACCCGACCCCCATTTGCTATAGCATAATTGTCCGAGTACTCATAATTATTCAATATACAGAATTCAAAATTAAATGTACATGACCACTTTGAATTCAGTGAAAAATGACAGTGTTGATTTAATTAAATTTGATTGTTCTGAGAAGTTATTTTGATTTTAAATTTATTGTAATATTTCATATAAACTAAACAAACAGCAGAATTAAGGATGGATTATGCATGTCTTTTTTTGGCTTCAAATGTTATATAAATTATCATTTAGACATCTATTCCCATGACAATCTCATAACCAATTCTGTAGATCATTGGATGGCTAAGATATTAAATTTTCATATTCTATATATACTCTTCAAAAAAAAGTAGGGGATATTGAAATGCAAATACCTATACAGGTTGTGATATGATAAATAGTCATGGACACTTGACATGCTTTAAGAGTATGTTCACAGATGAACAACTTATCGCCCCAATAGAATCACTGAGCTGCACATGCGACACGCAATAGCGCCATACACGTGGGAGGGGTCCATTGTCAAATTTGACACTTCAAGGAAGCGTTGATGAAAACTACCGCGTGCTGGTTTATCCTATCCATGTTTGCTTTCCTATCGGTTCTTGCATAAGATTTACTGTTTAGCGTATCTTTGCTTTATGTGTTACGTTTAATTTGATCGGGAGACGTGTTAATCGACGTCAACGTCAACTGACAACACTACAAGAATTGGCTGTGGCACTGCAAGGGGAGTGGGTCAGATTGCCCCAAATCGTGATTGGACGGTTAATTAGGAGCATGCCACGACGAATTGCTGAATGTCTGAGGATTGGTGGAGCAATTACTCATTATTAAGACAAAAATAAAAAACGTCCATTTTCACTTTTGACGGTGTATCTCTTTGCATCAGATAAGCCGTCCATATGAACTGTTTATGTTCATGTGTAGGCAATTGGCCAGTTATTAACATACACTGGTTACCTCTAATAAAAACAGCAGTGCATTTCCGCAGTTTTGTATTGTTTCTGGATATCCCCTACTTTTTTTGAAGAGTATATTTTTAAACTACTATAGCAACAGCGGCCAGCTTTATATCCAGTTCTTACATAAATAATCTCTTAACAAAATAACTACAAATATGTATATTATTACAGGTACTCATTTACTTTATTATTAATTATATTTAAAGTGACTAATAGGCCCAAGAGGCCGGGTGTTTGAACTACGTCATAAATTATATTGTATATAACATAACATATGTCACTATAATAAAAACTTCTTCTTCTAATGCATCTTACATCCTAATTGATATCTATAAATAATATGGACTAACTATATGAGAAACTAAGATCCCTGAATATATCCTAGTTTTATATAATATCACACAAGAGATAATCTTGTATCTTAAAACTGAACCAAAGATGAAAAGTACTGGGATGACTATGATGATTACTGTAAACTATGAAAAAAAACCCAAATCTATTGGATAAATTACCAATATATCAACTGTTACCAATATATCAACTATTCTCTAATCAAGTTAGGGTGTAAATCATACAATTAAGTAGTCTCCCCTTGTTTAACAAATTACTATGGGAATACTCAATTGAACGTTCCGGGATCGAATTTTCTAAATCACCAAAATAATGACAATCGAGTGAAAAGTTGAATTTCAGGCTACTGCAAAAGAAAATATCTCTATCAACCATGACAGCTGAAACATATTCAATGTGTTTAAATACATCACGATTCTACTCACACCACTGAATTCTACACCACTCGATTGCAATTCTGTTAATTCCGGACATTCTGGACTGATAATCTAGCACCGCCTACAAGTTTAGTGGTATCAGAAATGTGAAAATTATCTTATAAATTTTATCTAATACATAATATTATAGTCTGTTCAATGATCAATTTATAGAAATGACATAGAAGCAAAGTGACAAATGATTGTAACTGACAAAATTTATGAGCATGAATAAGAGAAATTGCTGTACACCATACATTATAGCAACTATTGCAGTGAGGGGTAGATGTTTAGTGGTAGTGAGAGAGAGAGAGAGAGAGAGAGAGAGAGAGAGAGATGGGGTTTACCTCCACTCGACACAAACTAGGTCATATCGGGACTAACATATGGTTCAATTTTATTTCAATAACCCACAAGGTTGGACAAGCGACCCTACACCTTGTCACGTACAACCCATGAATCGAAACGCCAGTTGACTCAATGACATACTGTGCTAACCATTCGATCATCCACACCCCCACCCCCACTAGTGGTAGTAAAGGGACTTCTTCCATCTAATTAATAAATGTTAAAGAAGACTGAACTTTAAATATTTCGATTAGAAATGAATTATCTACAAATTCGAATAATTTTAATTATCTAATATTTCAATGAGGCAATAAAAAAAGAGAAAAAAAAGTAAGTTTATAGTCGTAATTTGATTGTCTTTTCAAAAAGATAATTAAATGACCGATAATATATCAGTTTTATAAGAACACATTGTAATATCACATTATATCATATTATACTAGGATTATAAGCACAATAAGCAGATAATAGATCACATTATCATATTATAAGTTGGTTTCACATTCTTCTTCTTCATCATCAGTTAGTACAAGCCTGGCAAATATAAATTATAACATCTAATTAATACAATATCTAAATATTGATATAGGACAGGTCACAATTCTCTGGAATACAATTATTGCGTATTACTGAGTGACATTTCAACTAGGCTTCTGTAGTCATTATCAAATCAAGCAATGATAAAATATATAAGCAGTTGCCATGCAAAATACGCCCACATTTTGCAAGAGATGGACAGAGAACAAACCAAAAAGAAAGCGATATTTCGTACATAATGAGCCATAATCCAGGAAGCTACAGTCTGATATATGTGAATATCTAAAGGAATCAAGATCTTTGGGATGTTAACATACATGTGTATATTTTAAGTTTCATCCAAATCGGATAAAAATTCTGACCTCTAAAAGTTCCACAAACTTGGAATTACACTATTTGCATGTTCCAATTTTCAAGTCTTGGCCAATGAAATTACTTATCGCTACTTAGCCTAAGCAGAAAATTCTTATCTTTCAACCAATCAAATTGCTTACAATGTATCTCTGTTCAGCTTAAGCAGAAAATGCTGATCAAGGAATTTATCTAAATAAACCTCCACCAAGTTTGAACATTCTACCTCAATTAGAAGGGAAAGATATTGTGTCCTAAAAAGTGTGACGGACAGACAGATCAACTGGACGGATAATAAATAAATGGACACTGGAACCTTCTCCTAAAAATATTATAATACAAGGTAAATTATACAATAACAACACAGCTAGCCTTGAACCCTTGGCCAAAAATATCTTGTAATTCATTTTAATTATGGCTTTAAAATATTTATAATATTTATATGGTGTTCTTCAACCAGCGGTTGCCAGCCAAGATACGCCCACATTTTGCAAGAGATGGATAGAGAACAAGCTAAAAACAAAAGCGATTTTTCGTACAACCAGGGGCCATAATCCAGACAGTTATGGCCTGAAATGTGCAAATATAAAAAGGAACAGAGATCTTTGGGATATAAAGATACATTTAAAGTTTCATCAAAATCGGATAAAAATTGTGACCTCTTGAGGTGATATATTTAAATGGTTTTTAAAATCGGATAAACAATTGTGACCTCTAGAGAATCCACAAGGTAAAAACGTGATTTTTCGTACAATCATGGGCCATAATTCAGGAAGTTACGATCTGATATGTGCGAATATCATAAGGAACCAAGATCTTTGGGTTGTAAACATGCATTTCAAGTTTCATCAAAATCGGATAAAAATTCTGACCTCTAGAGGGTCCACAACCTTGATATACCAGATGTTTACACTATTTGCGTACAGGGAGCGGCCATTTTGTCCAGCTGTTTTCATCCGATTTTCATGAAATTCGGACTCAATCGACATTACGGTGTAACAGTGATATATTCGAACAATAATTCAGAAAGTTACAATCCAAAATGCGCGAACATCGAAAGGAACAGAGTTCTTTGGGTTATAAACAATCCATTTCAAGTTCTATCAAAATCGGATGAAAATTGTGTTCTCTATAGTGTCCACAAACTAAAAACGTGATTTTTCGTACAATCAGGGGCCATAATCCATGAAGTGATGGTCTGGTACATGTCAATATCACAAGGAGCCGAGATCTTTGGGAGAAAGACCTACATTTCAAGTTTCGTCAAAATCAGATAAAAATTATGACCTGTAGAGTGTCCACAAACAAATTGTGGATGGACGGACGGACAGATACGACAGCATAATACGTCCACATGAAAATGTGGGTGTATAAAAATCAAAGCCTATAAAATAAAGCACAAAAATCAGGATATCCCCTTTTTCAAAATACAGCTACACTGTTTTACATATACATATCAACATCAAAAATTAAATACTAAAACAAACAACAAAAACATTCACATCATGTAGATATAGATAAAATATTAAAAACAAGGAAATTACCTACTCATGACTTTATTCAGCTGTATAGTATGATGCTTGGGAAGACAAAAGGAAACACATTTGATGGACGGACACACAGACAACAAGGAAATATGTAGAAAACATGCTCACGGTGATGTAGGTTCGCGTGGACTTGTGTTGGCAGATGCCACTTTATAGCGACGTCGCCTGCAAAAACAAAAACGTGCCACAGCAAATAAGGAAGAAGCAAAAAATAAGGTAAATTGATGAAGAAAGCAATAACAACAACATTAAACTAATTTATAAAATCTGACAAATATACTAACTAGAAGCTTCACAAGAAAATAGATGAACAGAGAAGATCTAAAAAATATAGGCCTGTTAATGGTTCTACTTAGGCCTATAGGTACTTTTATTTTACAATGTATTTCAAAATGCAAGTAGGTTAGCAAGTAAACAATGTCAATAAAGGTTGTAGTTGTACATGTATGTAACTCATGAATTTGAATACATACTCATCATACAAAATATGACATGCCTGAATAGGAATTTCTTATATATGCATCTTAATTAAAATGAACTTCATAAAGGGTGCCTAGCTCAAAATAACCATCCATGACAAAGCACAAAAATGTTGATATATTTACTAATCAAACAGGGTAAGACAGTTAACTTTCAGCCAGCAATTTGGGAAAGTAAGATCTAGCATAATACTATATGTAATTGCAACATTTCCTAAATTTGTTCACAAACTGCTAGATATTTACCACAAGTTATGGTAGTCTTTTCCTTCCACTAAAAATGACATCATTTATATGAATGAATGATATTAACTCAGTAACAATACTAAAAAAAAATAAATAAATAAAATCTGTTTTCTATTATAGAAGAAGAAAAAAATAATCACAAAAGGATTCCTACCTACAACATATACATGTACTGGTAATAGCAAACTAGATCTAAATCTCTTTAGAATGTTTACTTTTAATTTTTTTGAGGTGTCATTAGATTTTTAACAATCAATCTGACTCACTGAAGCTACATGTATAACTAAACAAATATACATACCTAGCATTACTGGCCCTGGGGGCTCCAGGTGGGGGTTGGGGTATTCGTGAAGATTCTCCACCATCAGATCTGGGACTTAAAGTAGCAAGTGCTTCGGCAAGTTCTTTAGATGTTGTACGAGACATAGAAACTGAACGCTTTTTAATGGGGATTCTAGTCGGTGATCTTTTGCTGTCTACACTAGATTGTTTAGAAGGTAATTGTCTAATAGCACTAGGTATAACTTCACTATCGTTGCATATAGTACCATCCATAACTCCTTTATTTACACTTCCATGAATCATCACTGCCTCTTGATTATCTAAAACCTTACTTCTACGTCGAACTGTTATCATTTCAGAATTATTTCTAGCAGTTTCATTGTCAACAGTATGGGAATTTTTGGAAATTCGACTAACATTATCAGAAAGGTTTCCGTGTGAATAATCCTCTAAGTTTTTGTCCTTTTTACCTAGATAATAAAGTGGCGGTTTACCTACTTGACTTTTGGCTTGCACTTTTCCCAGTTTTTTGTCATCCATTGAATTTTCCCGTCCTTTGATTAAAAGTCTCGATGTTGAACCCTGACCTATCATATTACCAAGACCCTTTACAAATTGTTGGGGCATTTTTCGTGGACTAGAATAACTATTTGAACGATTACCAACACTTCTGGCATAATCTGAGCTCATTATATTACCAATATCATTTAAACCTACTGCACAATATTTATCAGCATCGTCTGTTTTTGTAGCACTAGTTCGAATATTCAAAAAATCACTATCATCATCATCAAATACTAAAGAACCCCGATTATTGGTTTTTGTTTCTTTATCATCTAATAAAATCAAGGAGTTCCGTGTAACACTGTCAAAATTATTGTCATCATCATCGCCTAGAGTATTCATTAAGTGTTTCCGTGACCGACTTTTGGGTAGTTTGAAATGACCTTGACACTCAGCCCCCTTAGCAATCTCATCCTCATCACTTTGCTCAGCATCGCTTTCTTCTCCGCTTGAACCGAAAGCAGACACACCACCTAACTGACTAGCAACTGTGAAAGGTGCCGCTCTTGTAGCATTTTCATCTATATTATCGTCTCCTACAGTATGAGTTTTATCTTCTGTCTGCATTAGGGCAAATGTCACGGCTGCTTTACTCATCTGATATGTGACTGGTAAATTGTCATCGTCATCCATATCAACTGTGACGTTTTTACTAGATAATATTTTGGAGTGTCTATTTCTATCTACACTCTCCATGTTTTCATTAGAATACGATATAGGTAAAATGGCGGCAGGCGGAACTTGGTTATCATTTGGTTTTAATTTACATATATCCAGTGGTTCTTTAGACCCACTGTCATGTTCGTTTGATTCTATGATGTGTTTTTTGTGAGCACTAGATTTATGATTATTATCATCATTTTGATTTGATTTACTACTTTCATGGTTCTCTTTACAATCATTATTCATCTCTTTATGTTTCGAACCAGACGTCACCTCTGTACTTTTACCTTCTTTTGTGCCAGAATTACCCAAGTCTTTGTCAAAGGTGTCCTTAGTTTTTTGTTCTGGTTCATATTTGATTTCTTTTTCTGTTTCTTCTCGTTGAAGTTTAGGGGAGAGTGCTGGATCGCCATTTTCTTCCTTCAGACGATTATCTACCTCCCTTTGATATCGATTGTCGTTAATAATCAGATCAACTGGTAGTTTCTTGTCCTCACCATCTTCTTGACTTAGATTAACGTCTAACACTTCTGTCGCACCATGGGGTGTATTAGGACCGACTTGTACCAAACTATAATAAATAAATTCAATTTTAATTCATGAATCAATAGTCAACGAGCAGATAAATCTATTGAAGGATTTGGGGCCAAACACTATACAAGGCACCACATACACCATTATGAATGACCTGAGTTGCAGTGGGGAATAATACTAGGGCCATGTGACGCAAGGAACAGTAACTGTTGTCCTGTACAGTTAAGGAGGTGAGATATTTTTTTTCCCTTAAACTGCAGGGGTCCTAAGTTGTTTAATGGTAATCCTTGGAATCTTCTCCTCACATGGTACATTCCATGTCAAATGTCATACTGAAGGCTTATGAGAAAACTTAAAATTTGGGGTGGAGCATTTGCAAGAAGTTAAATTTAAAATTTATATTTGGACTCTCAAATTGTATCCACTGAGTCTAGGAACTCGAGAATTTCTCACAGTAATGCTATTATCAATTACCTTTTACCCCTATATTCGTTCATGGGACTTCTAAGTAAATGTTAAAGGCTCAATACCACTCTTGTTGTAACTGAATAATATGTCCCAATTTTTATTCTGGTCAACAAATTGTACTATTTTAGAATATTTCAATTAATTGATGATACAAATTTCATCTCAACATACCTTATTTAAAAATTTTGAAAAATTCAACATAATGATTTGAAACGTCTAACGTAAACCTTTTCAAATGAAACTTCGATTTAAAAATATTTTCTAACCCTCTGGACAAGTAAAATAGGATGTAATGGATAATTTACACAACAGATAGGACACTTAAACATCTAGTACTTAGATAGAGATATTATTTATTTTCTGGAGCTTTCAAGCCAGCAAGAGTGTTATTGTCCCTTTAAAGGAGTCCAGACTCCATAGGACCCTTAGTATAAATAAAATAAAACAGGGTTTAACGTCAAAGGAGTCCTGAGGACCCTTAGTAGTAATACAGGAGGTAAACTCTGGGATTAATTATAAATGAGTTAGCGTAAGTTAATACTTTATAAGAGTAACCTACCCTGGCTGTCCTACTGTTTGTTTAATGGCCACTTGTTGTGATGTTGTAGTTAATGTTATTGATGTATCACCATAGTTTTTCTCCCAATCGTACCCATCAGATTCTTTGATATTTTTACGTCTCATACATTGTTCTATCAAATTATGCAGCATTGGGTAGTCAGGTTTATCAAAGTACTCTAATTTCTGAATATGTTCTAATATGGCACGGAATTCCGAGGGCATATTTTTAAGAAGTTGAATATGTTCATATTTTTCTTTCATCAAACCAACTTGTTCTTTATCTTTAATTTTCCTCCAGGGCAATTGACCAACCACAAACTCAACCAACATATAAAATAATGACCAAAGATCATCATGACGACCCATTTCCTACAATTACAAACAAAAACCTTATAATAAATTGTATTTAAAATACTAGTATTGTTTTTTTCTGAAGATAGGTTGCCAGGCAACAAACCATACACGCACAGAAGCTAAATCATTTGAGCAATAGGAAGATTTACAAGACATTGATATCAATATCATACAGACCAAATTTTCACAAGCTTCAACAAAGTTAAACAAGTGTCATAACTGTAGAAGATATTAACAGAAATTGCTTAAATTCAATAGGCTTCTTTGTTTTACATCTCAATAATGCATTTAAATTTAATACAGATCGGATGATAACTTTTGTTGATTGAGAGTTCACATGGTTCAACAAAGTTAAATAAGGGCCATAAACTCTAGAAGTAATTTAACAGAAAAATTTTCTTCGCTTTCGTGATATAAATAATGCATATAAATTTCATACATATTGGATGATAACTTTAGTCATTTGACTGTTCACATGGTTCAACAAAGTGAAACAAAGGCCATAACTCTAGAAGTAATTAACAGAAACTGTTGAAATTCAATAGGCTTATTCATTTTACTGATCTAAATAATGCATATAAATTTTGATTGTTGTCGATTGAGAGTGCACGAGGACATGGTTCAACAAAGTGAAACACGGGCCATAAGTCTAGACGTAATTAACAGAAATTGTTGAAATTCTAAATAATGCATATAATTATGATAACTTTTGTCGATAGAGTGTTCACAGGGTTCAACAAAGTGAAATAAGGGCCAAAACTCTAGAAGTAATTAATGGAAATTGTTCAAATTCAATAGGCTTCTTCGTATGCATATATATTTAACACAGATTGGGTGATAACTTTTGTTGATAGAGCATTCACAAGGTTCAACAAAGTGACATAAGGGCCATAACTCTAGAAGTTATAAACGGAAATTGCTGAAATTCAATAGCCTTCTTTGTGTTACTAAATTAAATAACACTTGAAAATATAATACAGATCAGATGAAAACTTATGTCGTTAGAGTGTTCACAAGGTTTAACAAAGTGAAACAAGGGCAATAACTCTAGACGTTATAAATGGAAATTGCTGAAATTCGATAGGTTTCTTCCTTTCACTAATTTAAATAATGCAAATAAATTTAGATCAGATGACAACTTACATGTAAGTCGTTAGCATGTTCTCAAGGTTTAAAAAAGTGAAACAAGGTCCATAACTCTAGAAGTTATAAACGTAAATTGCTGAAATTCAATAGGCTTCTTCGTTTTACTAATTGAAATAACAGCTGTAAATATAATACAGATCAGAAGATAACTTTAGTCGTTAGAGCGTTCAGTTCAGCAAAGTTAAAGATAGGTTGCCAGGCAACGAAACATACGCCCACAGCAGCTAAATCGTCCGGGCAGTCAAAAAGAGTTGGCGCATATTTTTAATTTTCGGTAATGAAACATTTGTTATACACTAAAATCTGATTATAAATTTAAAGCCAATCGAATATTAACTTTGGCCTCTAGAGCGTCCACAAGATTTTTCAAAGTGATCAAGGGCCATAACTCTGGCAGTAATTATCGCAAATCGCTGAAAATCAAAAGGCTTTTTTGTCCCATGACCGTAAACACTGCTTATAAATTTAAAGTCAATCGGATATTAACTTTGACCTCTAGAGTGTCCACAAGATTTTTCAAAGTGATTAAGAACCATAACTCTGGCAGTAATTATTGGAAATCGCTGAAAATCAATAGGCTTCTTCGTCTCATGACCTTAAACACTGTGTATAAATTTAAAGTCAATTGGATATTAACTTTGGCCTCTATAGCGTCCACAGGATTTTTCAAAGTGATCAAGGGCCATAACTCTTGCAGTAAAAATCAATAGGCTCCTTCGTCTCATGACCTTAAACACTGTGTATGAATTTAAAGCCAATCGGATATTAACTTTGGCCTGTAGAGTGTCCACAAGATTTTTTGAAGTGATCAAGGGCCATAACTCTGGCAGTAATTATCGGAAGTAGCTGAAAATGAATAGACTTCTTCGTCTCATGACCTTAAACACTGTGTATAAATTTAAAGTCAATCGGATATTAACTTTGGCCTCTATAGCGTCCACAAGATTTTTCAAAGTGATCAAGGGCCATAACTCTGGCAGTAATTTTTCGGAAATTGCTAAAAATCAATAGGCTTCTTCGTCTCATGACCTTAAACACTGTGTATAAATTTAAAGCCAATCGGATATTAACTTTGGCCTCTATAGCGTCCACAAGATTTTTCAAAGTGATCAAGGGCCATAACTCTGGCAGTAATTTTCGGAAATTGCTAAAAATCAATAGGCTTCTTCGTCACATGACCTTAAACACTGTGTATGAATTTAAAGTCAATCGGATATTAACTTTGACCTCTAGAACGTCCACAAGATTTTTTGAAGTGATCAAGGGCCATAACTCTGGCAGTAATAATCGGAAATCGCTATGGTATGACTGTTATTGTTGTAGCCGACATGCAAGTTGATTGACTACTTAATTAACAAGTAATAATTAACCCTTTGTAATTTACTTTTAGCCGAAAGTAGATTGATTTACGATACCATAGTGGCTGGTTCATTGTTTTACCAATCGGCTTGATTGAACTTCAAGCAGCTAAAGCCGACAACCGATTAAGATCCCTGCTCTAGAGGATCCACAAGATTTTTCAAAGTGACCAAGGACCATAACTCTGGCATTAATTATTGGAAATCGCTGAAAATCAATAGGCTTCTTCGTCCCACGACCACAAGCAATTGTGGACGCCGGACTGACAGACGGAAGGCGTCGACGACAATATACGACTATATTTCAATATGGGCGTATAAAAATGTAAATTAAAATAGATAATAGAAGTTAATAAAGTTCTTCAATACACACCTTATTTTTATGAGCATTAACTGAAGCATATCTAACAGTTCCACGGAATCCTGCAGCAGCTCTTGGTGGTCGAACTTGTCCAGAAGCTGTAGTATATTGTCTTGCTAATCCAAAATCTAACATATAAACTTTACGACTATTACTTGGTGGTTTACCCATGGCAAAATTTGACTAGAAGATAAAATAAATAAAGCCATAGTGTGGTTATTATAGGGCAAATATAAAACAGCTTTGAAATGAAATAAAATATGATACCTATTGAACAGCTTTCCATAATTTACAACATAGCTAACATCTAGCTATGTGTAAGAAATTGAAGAGATGATCAACCAATGATCTATCTGATCAGGTGTAAAACACAAGGTGTGCAGAATATTGTTGTAATTATATATATGAAATCAGTGATGGGATTTTACCCGTTTTTTCAAAACGCCCAAAATTGTTCGACCGGGAATATGCCCAATCGGACATCAAGACATGGTGAATAATATTCAAATTCCAAAATTAATATAGTGTACTGAGTGTATAACTACTGTGCAACCCGATTATCGGTGATAATACGCTTGATTGATTAGGTAATTAAGTGATCGACTATTTATATTGTTATATCGTCTTAAACACCTACCTTGCTTAACTACTATTCTGCCTTGATTGGCTGAACTAATTCTTTATCGGACAATTCATCAAATCAATCCTGAACAGAAGTCATTGCTTCTCCTTTGTCGGACGATATATCAATCCAATAAGAGTGATTAGAAACTTAATCTGATTAACCCGTGATTTCTCCACTGACCATTGTCTCACGTTTTAATCTCCTTTGTGTCGGACAATAACACGTAGAAATTAGTCATATATGTCACATATCATGATAGTATATAACACCTCAAATCAACATTCAACTTGTCTGTGATATATTTTCGGTGGAAGCCGAAGTTAAATGAAGATATTTCACACACATGGCACTTATAGAGGTCAGTAATTAAAATGAAAGTGCAAATCTCGCGAGACACGTGAAATTAAGAGATGTATACGTGCTGAATCCAATACGCCTGATGTTCGAGAAAAGATTCTATTTTGATAGCATATTGTCGGATTTATGATCATATTTTGAAGGGGGTTTACGTCTTTAAATAAATAAATAAACACGCTAAGAAATGTTGACGAATATTTCGATTGGAATGACGTAAGTAGTTAATTGTTTTAGACGATAGCGCGTGCTACAGTCGAATGCAATTATTTAGAAGTTGGTTCCACTCGCTCATTAGGGCGTCGTTAACTACGGTTTACGGCCAAATAAATTTCAGGATGTCATTTTTTTACCTTCCGTATATAAATCGAAACGAAACAGATCGGCAGCAGTCGGCACGCTGCCAATTCTATAGACGATGTCATGTAATTTTGTAGGAATATTATTGACATAAATTTGAATTCCGTACGGGTTTTAAACATGAAATATAACGAGGTGCACCTATTTTTTTTTTACATATGAATTTGAATATATTTTGTTGACACATGATTCTTAATTGTGTTTTGAAAACGTCTGCTTAAATTACGGTAAGAGTTATGCCCCTCGACATGAAATTTTTTGAAATCCCATCACTGTATGAAATGTTTATCTAATAAAATATCAAAGTGGCAGTGGGCCAATACCTCTTCAAACTATGGGCATTTCTCTGCTTTTTGATTTATTTGACAAAAGATTATCAAAAATCCTATACATGCAGATAAACTTTACACAATCAGTGCATCCATTTTTGTCAGCTCAATAATTTCCTTTTTGAGTTCCAATTGTCTTTGGTCATTGGCGTGCCAAAATCAGACCAGTTCCCTTGCCTGCCGCCTCGCCCCTCATCCTAACACCTTTGTATCCATAACCAGCGGCTGCGAGGCAAGATATGCCCACATTTTGCTGCTTTTGCAAGAGTTGGCTAGAGAACAAGTCAAAAAAAAAACCCTGCAATTTTTCGTACAATCAGGGGCCATATACATGAATGTATGGCCTGAAATGAACGAAATTGAAAGGGACTGAGATCTTTGGGATATAAAGATATATTTTAAGTTTCATCAAAATCAGACAAAAATTGTGACTCTAGAGGGCCCACAACCCTCGTATTACATACTTGTACACAATTTGTGTAGAAGAGGTGGCCATTTTGTCGGGTAGTTTCTGTCTGATTTTCACGAAATTCGAAATCAACCAACATCTGGGTGTAACAGTGATACATTTAAATGTTTTTTTAAAATCGGACAAAAATTGTGACTTCTTGCGGGTCCACAAGCTAAAACTACGATTTTTCGAACAATCAGTGAGAATAATTCAGGAAGTTACATTCAGATATGTACGATTATCGAAAGGAACCAAGGTCTTTGTGAATTAAACATAGATTTAAAGGTTCATCAAAATCAGATCAAAATTGTGGTCTCTAGAGGGTCCACAACTTTGATATACCATATTTTTACATATCATTAGGGAGTAACAGTGATTTTAAATCGGAAAATGATTGTGACCTCTAGGCTAACTATGCAAGTTTTCGTAAAACAGGGGCCATAATTCTGGAAGTTACATTCCGATATGCGCGGATATCGAAAGGAACCAATATCTTTGGGTTATAAACATGTATTTCAAGTTTCATTAAAATCGGATCAAAATTGTGATCTCAAGAGGGTCCACAACCCTGATATTCCATAGTTTTACACTATTTGCGTACGAGAGGCGGCCATTGTCTGGTAGTTTGGGTCCGAAATTCGAACCCGGCCAACAATTCGGTGTAATGGTTTTATATTTAAACGTTTTTTTTTTAAATCGGATAATAATTGTGACCTCTAGAGGGACTACAAGCTAAAAACATGATTTTTCGTACAATCAGGGGCCATAATTCAGGAAGTTATGATCTGATGAATATCGAAAGGAACCAAGATCTTTGGGTTATAAACATGCATTTCAAGTTTCATCAAAATCAGATGAAAATGGTGACCTCTAGAGTGTCCACAAGCCAAAAACATGATTTTTCGTACAATCAAGGGCCATAACAGTGATGGGATTTCTTCTGTATATTCCGGACATGTCCGATGTTTTTTTCCAAACGTCCGAAATTGTCCGACCAGGAAAATGCCCAATCGGACATCAAGACATTGTGAATAATATTCAAAATTCCAAATTTAATATAGTGTACTGAGTGTATATCTACCCCATTATCGTTGACAATAGGCTGGATTGATTAGGTAATTAAGCGATCAACGTATTTATTGTGTTATACCGTCTATACACCTACCTTGATTAACTTCTTAATCTGCCATGATTGACTGATTTAATCCTTTATCAGTCAATTCATCAATCGAATCTTAAACAGAAGTTATTGCTTCTTCATTGTCGGACATTTTAAACACAGCATGTACCAATCGACAGCATGTCACATATCGTAAGAGTATATAACACCCTAAATCAATGGACAGTCATTTTGTCTGCGATATCTTTTACGTCCTTTAAGTTTAAGACTCCATATAGAAATTCTCATCCACAGTGGTACTTTCCCGTGATCTTGATTGCCGAACGAAAATCGCTTATAAGACAGTGCTTTTGAAGCTATGAGTCACGTACACCATACCCTGAAGTTAGCTATGCCTTTTTACAAGTGATTTAACTATCAATGTAATTTTAAAATACTTATGAAGAAGAAAATGGTGTTTTGACATCACCACAAGTATTATTATTTCGAACGCCTTTCGTTTATTTCCTGCCATATAAACCAAGACATGTAATTTTGCAGAAATATTACTGGCGTAAGCTTGAAGCAGGTACAGATCGGCAAGCTTTCATCCTGTTGTTACGAAAACACGAAATTTTGTAGGAATATTACGAGACTTAAATATGAAAAATAGCAAGGTGTTCCTATTTTTATTAGCCACGGATTTGAATATTTTGTTGACATTTCATAAAGAAATCACAAACTATTCTTATTTCGGAAGTTGTGCATTCATTTGCTGCCATATAAACAAAGACACTTCATTTTGAAGGAATATTACTGTTTTGAATTTGATGTCAAAGCAGGATTGGCAAGCTTTCATTCAATGTATTACGAAAATGCGTAATTTTGTAGGAATGTTACTGACTGACATAAATTTGAATACTGTACAGGAATTAAATAAGAAAAATAGCGAGGTTCACCTATTTTTATTTGAATATTTTGTTGACACATGAGTTTTAATTGTGGCATGAATCTGTCTGCTTAAATAACGATAAGAGTAAAATGTCCGAAAAGAAATTTTTTTAAATCCCATCACTGGGCCATAATCCATGAAGTTATGGTCCGATACATGTACATGCCAATATCGAAAGGAACCGAGATCTTCGGGGGATAAACCTCTATTTCAAGTTTTGTTAAAATTGAATAAAAATTGTGATATGTAGAGTATCCACACAAACAAATTGTGGTTGGACGAACGGGGGCTACGGCATAATACGTCCACATGAAAATGTGGGCATATAAAAATAGCAATAGATAGAATAAATATCTGCCCATCCATTAAAATGTCCTCAATCTGCACATATAAGAATATAACTTACGGGTTTGATATCTCGATGTAGGAAACCAACTTCATGTATGGATTCAATGGCTTTCAGTATTTGTGCTCCTAAACGTAATGTTGTACTTAAACTAAAACAGCCTCTAGCCTGACCACGACGTAATTCAGCCAGGTTTTTTCCTTGAAGTGACATGACAACATAATTGTATTTCTCATTTCTACCACAACCAATAAATCGGCATACATGATCTTTTCCTGAAATGACAATATAGATATTATAACATTTACATGTACACAAACTTATTCTCACATCCACCAAGAGCATTTGGAATGTTCTATTTCAAATTTTCAACATCAGGATCAATAAATCTGCATCAAATTGATTGGCAAGTCTGAATTTTGATAAGGTTTCTCGTTATGATTAGCCCAGCAATCCTAGCAAGATGGTAGAGAAATCTGTAAAACTTTGACCTGTAGAGGGTTAACATGGGGACAAGGGCAGTAATTCTGCAAAACACTGTTGTGCACACTTTGACAGGATAAAAAACCTCACAGCTTATACATAGGCTGACCAACCAAAATTTATACAAGTTGTGGACCAACCGACAGGATTATGAACACATTGGATGTTAGTATATAATAATGCTATCTATTTTCATAAATAATTAAAATAATTCATACTGACAGCTGACAAGCACATGGTTTCTGCTGTCTATAGGGATTACATGTCTACCATGTAAAGCATGACGACACATTATTTCTTGGATATGCAATTGATTCTTACAAGTACCGTATGCAAATTAGACAAGTGTCTGACAATTTCTACTACCTGATTTTAAAAGGAGTGACTACAATTTGATATGAATATGACTATAATATTTGGACGTATCAAAGCATATTGTAATTCTACAAAAGGGTACTTCTGTGTGATCTGTTACAGTAATAATCTTATTGCTACCAGGTTTCATACAGCTAAAACAATATATGAGTAATACAGGTATATTACACCACATAAAGAAATATTCTATTCAATATTCATTTATAACTGAAATCCCATAACATGGAACAATTCAGTAGAAGTTCATGCTATTAAACAATAATACTAGGTTCATTCATTGTCATTACTTGTCGGTATTTCTCTACCTTAAAATATTGGAATATGCTACATGTATTATTTTTCTTTAACAAAATAAAGAGTTTAAAATAAAAGTCCACTTGACACAAACTAGGTCATTGAGTATCAATAAATTATCAACAATATTTCCAAAAAGGTGATTCTGAGATCATCACTATCAGGAATATTAAAATATCAAAGTTGGAATATAGAGACGACACTAATATATTCATAATTTTCAATATTACATGTACTTTACATGTACCTTGTAGTTTTTTCAGTACAGCTACTTCCATTTTCAGAACTTGCTTTGGTTGTTTGGCAGATTCAAGTTTTAATGCTACAGATTCTTTGCTAACTGAATCTGTGGCCTCGTAAATTTCCCCAAATCCTCCTCCTCCTATCTTCTTTAACTGTAAATACATGAAAACAATTTACACAATAATGTGATTTTAACAAAAGACACATAGAATATAAACTTGGTTTGACATTGGTACCGGGGCTAAACTTTTTTAATCACCATTTCGTGGGCTGAGGATTAACTGGTTCTATGTCCACTTTTCACTAAAAATGAGATATTTGCATAAAAACTATTTTTGAATCAACAGGTGCTATGTACTGTGAGCAAGATTTAATTCAGAGGTGCCCTCTAGATTAAATTGCCAAAAAACACATAGGCCTTTGTTTAAATTTCAATCCATTCCCCCTCACAAAGTTCTATGTCCACTCTCACCAATATAATTCCTGGGTCTGGTGTCATGTGGTCTTTTGACAAAATGGCCGAAAGAGACACCAGCATAGCTGTATTTCTAGAGCAGAAAACTTGCCGTAAGGCCCTCAGAATATTGTCCCAGAATGAAATTCTTAATCTGTTAGAAAGGTATTGATTGTTAGGCAATTTAAGACAGCTTAGGCCTAATGTTTTGTTGAAACCCTATTTTTATTTTGAATGATCGTACACAGTAGTTCAGTGCATAATGATGGAGATGGAACTAGTTGACATCAAGGCCCAAGGGATCTTTTACGTACATGCCAGACACGGGACCTCAGTTTTTCGTCCCATCCGAACGACTAGAAACGGTAGTTCAGTGCATAATGATGGAGATGGAACTAGTTGACATCAAGGCCCAAGGGATCTTTTACGTACATGCCAGACACGGGACCTCCGTTTTTCGTAACATCCGAACGACTAGACAGCCGCTTCCTCCAGGCTAGCGAGCCAGCACCTTGCCCACTTGGCCACCGTGCCCCCCCCCCACCATCATAGGCTTACAGTGTAATATATTTATGATCTTTATCAAATGTAGGGGAGACCGGGGCACATTGAACCAGTTTTTTCACATACATGGTTGTCCTCCTTCCATATCAAATGTTTTTATTAGAAGATCTCTTTTCTTTATTGTTTTGTTTGAAGACATATCATAGTTGCTATTGTATATCACATTTTAATCCACTTGACCGTAATTATTCAATGTACCTCGCTGTACAAAATAGTCGGTCGGAGTAGGTTTAACCAAATAATGGGGCACATTGAACAGTGGTAAAAATTTCATGTTAAACATAGATCTGAATTTGGATCACAAACCTAGTCACTTGTTTCGTAGTTATCTAATGAATCTGCAAACAATCAATGTTTAGTTAAGAACAAATATCCACAGATCAGACATCCGTGCAACAATCGAAACAAGCAGGAGTCCGGATTCCCTAGGCTCCTACAAATCGCCGTAAATTGCACTTAAGATGGCAGTTTGGTGTGATAGTGGGATCCCAGTCAACTTTTGCAGTGAATCAAACCAAAATTTGTCCAATATTCTGTCTAAGTTTGGACAGCCTGTTTGCTGACAAGCGACTCTTAGTCAGGGAGACCCATTGCACCTCTGTATGTCACAGCCAAGTTTCGAACACTGCTCCCATGAAGTTTTAATTCCGTTTATATGGCAGGCCTACAGAGTCGGGTCAATTGATCTTCTAATATTGTTTCTATTTTCAAAGATATTACAAATTATCAAATGATATATAAACTATAATGCACTGGGGTACATTGAACCAGTGGTTCAACGTACCCCATTGACAGTGGTTCAATTCAATCTGCCACATCACAGTTTTATGATCAAAATTTAAAAAAATTCAAAATGGATCAAGCCCTTGTTTATCTGGATTGTAGATATGAACTGATTGTAAGTACAAGAATTTCCTAGGCTGAACAAATTATCATATGATATATAGTCTATAATGCACTGGGGTACATTGAACCATGGTTCAAAGTGCCCCATCACAGTTTCATGATCAAAATTTTAAAAAAATTCAATATGCCCTCTATGGATCAAGCCTGTTTATCTGGATTGTAGATTAGACATATATGAACTGATTTTAAGTACAAGAATTTCCTAGACTAGACAGTTAACATGTATGGAAAATGATAAGTGGAAGTAGTGCATTTTCACTTTTAAGAGCTCTTTTGAAAAAATCATTGCCTAAAAAATAATTGACAGCATGTTGTCACTGTCTATTGACGGGGAAATAGGTCTAAGAAGTTATCTCACTTCTGTGTAGTCTTGGGTTGCCTAGTATTATATATAAAGGATATATCCGTGGTGGTTCAATGTACACATATGTTCAATGTGCCCCGGTCTCCCCTACATGTCCTTGGCAGTAAGCTAAGAGTGGGGTTACCTGTCCAATCAGTGGACAATGCTTTCTCTTCGTTAAATTTTGGGCCGGAAAAGGCTTTTTGTTATGTTTAATGCCTGTGAGTGTTATGTGTTGTTTTTCCCGAAATCATATTTTTGTAGCTATTCAATAAATTGACACTCATGGTTAATCTTCGTCAGGCGGAAATGTAGCATGGATTTCAATAGTAATTTTCATGAATTCAACCCATTTTGTTCTCCTGTAAACCAGAGTAACTTTAGACCTAAGGGGTTACTTTGGCATAGGCTAAATATGTTTTACACAAATAGAAGGATTCTGAACCTGTGACAATGTAATCCCTGGGCTAGAGTTGCCCCAGTTTACGGGTAGGTTTTTTTTAAACAATGAGGCTGGATATAGAACTATGTGATTCGGACCGTCTTGAGACACAAGGTTCTATCTCCTAGATAGAACTTTGTGCCTGACAAATTCATAAAATTTTGTAAGTCCCAAAGTCCCATCTCCATTTATCGTATTTCGGTTTGACCAGATCGGATACCACTGCATTAAAAAGCACCACACACCCTGCCAGCTGCTTATATTTTCAGCTTCCACAACAGTGAAAATTTGGTAAAAATTCAATGAGTTTCAAAATACAGCGATGCAAAACTTCACATCCATTTTTCTCAGTTTGACAAAAAGTGGACATAGAACCAGTTAATCCTCAGCCCACGATTTATTTTACTTGTACATGTAAATAGGAATTTCCATTTTACATGTACATACATGTACATAAAACAAATGTTGTTGTTGTTTATTTTATTTGTGTTTGTAAGACTCATGTTGTTAATCATAAACAAACTGTCCATTAAGATAAAACTATTCCACAGTAAATATAATATAGTTTAGGTTAATCTGGTTATATACAATACACTGCCAGCAGACAACATGTATGTCAACTTGTTTCCAAAACACTACTCTCAGATATCTAAAATAAATATTCCCATGGCAAGGTTCTAATTCTAAATTAATTTTTTATTTCTTTAACAAACAACTACAAATTTCAAGTGAAGTTACATCTATCCTCCATTTAGTTTTTGTAGTAACAGGGTGGTTGTGCATGAGGCAAGGCATAACATGTAATATCACTTCACTGCTAACAGATTTAAGAAGGATTTTAGCAAATTTATTTTTTTTATTTTTTACTCCAGTTGATTTTTAATTTATTGGTCCAGGATTAATTTATTGGTCTTTTTATGTAAGCTTATACATGTATCTAGCCAATACCAATTAGGTCATGCAGGACGAAAGGGATTGGAATAATTTGTATAAATCGCTTCATTATGTGTGAAGGTATTGAAGATCAGCGTATATAAATGTGACTATAAATAGTTCAAATCATCTATTTGTGATACATACTGAACAACTTACAACACAGCAGACACCTTGACTTCTATTGATTGTACTAGTTGTTATACAGAGCCTTGTATATGTATATTCTTTATTTTCTAAGTAATAATTTGACCCAAATCTGTTATTAATTTTGTTAAATAGGGTATTACCATTGGACAGTAGATTAGAAGCTAGACATACAATCTTTGTACATGTAAATTCTCAAAATCCCCCTCCACTACCCTGTCCTGCAAACAATGTTACTGTTGATCATTTAAGTGTTAAATAATTTAATCCACCTCATCCCATTTAGATGTTTACCAGTGAATAACACATACACTATAAAATATTCACCATGATTGTGATTTACTATTTATCATGTATTGATCTGATATGTATAGCCAGACTACTTCATCTCATATTAACTGCTTATATATCCTGCCGTGCTGCATGTATTCGTTCAACTTACACTCAGCAACAGGTCAAGAGACCCCTTAAATGTCATTGGTATGACTTTCGGTATTCTTATTTTTGAACAAAAGCCCTAATTATGTCAATGTCCTTCATGACGATGAACACTGCCTATCAACAATTACAAAAATTTGATTTCACTAATTTGGTTTATACATGTATTTATATTATTGTAAAAATGGGTGGTTGTAATTCACATTGACTATAGTGATAGTGTTATTGGCGTAGTAACAAAACCAATAATATAACTGCTAGAGAGCAAGGCAATTAATCACTATAATATAGTGTATAAAGATGACTGATGTACAGTTCATCCTTATACATACTGTATACCAGACCACCAATCTCTAGTACATGTAATAAGGGTGTTGAGTGGTTCTGTGTCACTTGTCCATTTTTAAATGACTCAATCTAATTAAGCTTCCTTCTTTATTTCATTATTCTTACTATTCTTTATCAGTTCACTCTTTTCTTTCAATTTCTGATGATGACAAATGGTATGAAATTAAAAGTGTGGGCTTGAAAGGTGAAGGCCCTCTAATTATCAAATCTGTCAGGCATTGAGTTTTGCTAGTTCTGAACACTATCTTTTATTTATTGTGGGATTTGAAAAGAGATTTGTAGAAAGTTTCAAAGGCCCAATTTAGAATCTATCTAGTGTTAGAATATTGAAACAAACAGACCTTCTATTTGAATTGATATCGTTCACATGGGAAGAGAGGTCTGTGAAAATGGGAAATTGTAGAATAATGTCTGTCTTCATACATGTATTGTCTTTGAGTTAGGTACATGTATCCAAGATGTCAAATTGTGTCCGTTGGTACACATGGGTTTATGTTTGTAAATTTAAGAGAAAAAGTAAAGAAATATTCCAAATGTATCAATATAATTATGATCCAACTTGTGTAGCTGGATCTAG